TGGACGGCGAAGAAGATGTGCTTGACGGTCTTGATCTCGTTCGCAGGCTTCAAGCCGAGCGCGGCCAGCGCCTCCTTCGCCTGCGCGCCGCGGCTGACCTCCTCCAGCAGGTGCACGACGAGCTTGATGATGCGCTCCTTGTCTTCAGCCTTGAAGCAACCGTTGTGGACGAGACCATCCAGCTTGAGCGTCTTCTTGAGCGGCAAGGTGTAGGCCTTGTGAGCGATTTCGTCGACGAGCGACTGGAGGGGAAGCCATTGGCTTGCGACTGCTGCGAGGTTCTCCTGATTCGGGGAGGTGGGCGAAAGGGATGCTCCGCTCGCCTGTGGACCGGCAGGCTGTGCGTTGGGCGCGTTGTGAGCGGGATTCGCAGTCTGCGAGGGCGGAGGAGGAGGAGGGGTGTCGCAGCGCGGGCGACTCGTCGACTGAGCGACTTGCTGGACCGTCGTATTCGGCGCCTGCTGCGTAGCGGTCGCTTGAGGAGCCGTGCGAGTGTCACTGTTGGAGCTGGAACCGCCGACGGGGAGCTGGTTGCGGTTGCGAGCAGTTGCGGCTTGCGGAGCGGCAGCGTCGGCGCTTGAGGACCTCGCCGCCGAGCGTCCGATGTTCTAAACGACGAGACGACTGCGTCAGCACTGCGCTGCGCTCGTGTACAAGTCGTTCGTAGTGCGAAAGGCAGAGGGAACGCACCGACTCCTCCTCGTCACTGGCACTCGTCTCCGATCCCCCGTCGAGTCTACTGATCTGCGCCTCGATGCCCTTGAGCTCCTCCTTCAGGCGTCCGCGCTCCGACCGGATCTTGGCAGCCTCGTCACCCCTTCCCTGACCCGCGCGCTGCAACGCCGCTTCTTCCTCCGTCTTCCTCCGGATCGCAGCGACAAACTGCGCGCGCTTCGTCTCGAGCTCGTGCTGTTCCTTGCTCACCCAGTCCCGCTCGCCGAAGACGCGCTTGCGTCCCCAGCGGTCGACGGTGCCATCCACCTCCTCAACCCTGCCCCGCTTGAGCGCATTCGACGCGCTTTGACGAGGCGTTCCAACCGAGGCGGGCGTGTTGGACTGTCTAGGCGTGTTCGACGCGTCGCTCAAGACGCCGTTGCGGCGTTGCGGAGGAGGGCCTTTCGAGGCGGACGAGGACGAGGGAGGGTGCGGCGGAGCCATCGGAGAGCGCTGCGAGGTGTAGGAGGGCGCGTGTGGATGTCGTACGGAGTGTTCGAGCGTGTCCAGCCAGCAGACAAGCGAGGTAGCGTGGAAGGAGGAGGAGAGAGTACGAGGAAGCCACACGCGCAGACGCTCTCGTCGACTCGCACCAGCTGCACGCAAGCGAGCTAGATGCGGACAGGCTAGACTGCCGATGACTGACGCGCAAACGCCTCGTTCGACGTTTGAAGGAGTGGACATCTCTCCTCGTCCAGGTCAACCTTCCCAAGCCCTCCCCTCGGTTGACTCCGCGCTCTCCTGCGCTGGTCCACACGCTGACAGGCCAACGACATGGCAAGCTTGACCGTCCTCATGCTCGCACCGATTTGAGGCCGACTTCGTTGAAGGAGGAGAAGGGGGAGACTTTCGCTTTTCAGTCGTGGTTCCTGTTGTCTTTCGTACACCGTTCTCAGACAGTGCGCCCCTTCATTGCTATGCAATCCCCGCGCTCGTCCATCCACTGCCTGCCTCATGCGAGTCGCAGAGAATTTCGTCGCTGGTCTCTCGCCTCTCGCCTCTCGACTCGGGCTTCGAGCTCGCCAGGCGTCGCTGCTCTCGCCCTCGGTCAGTCTCTTCGCTGCTTCACTTCGTGTACTGCTCCCAGCGCTTTGTACCGCCGCCAAAGAAAAGCTCGAAGCGATGCCCGTCGCAATGCGTGAGACTCGGCTCCCCGGTTTCGCTCCTCTCGCTCAACTCGTTTCCTGAGATGCGCAAGATTGACCCTTCGATTGCGGCAACATCCATCTACCGCTTCGGCTCCTCGACCTTGACGACCAAGCCCTTCCCGACGCGCTCGATCTCCCTGAAGACAGCCTTCTTGTCCAGCACAACCTTCGCCTTGCCTTCCTCCGCGACGACAGGCTTGACGGCGAAGCTCAGGCCGACGCTGAAGGCGCGGGGCGACTCGACGGACGGGTGCCAGATGCCGCCGATGATGGGCGAGCCGTGTTCAGAGTGGAAAAGGAGGAAGACGGAGGGGTAGAGACGCTGTACGTGTGAGAGCGTTAGCTTGCTGTCCGAGGAACGTTTGCAAGAGAGGGAGGCAGACATACGTTTAGTTGGTCAACGAAGTCGGCGACGGGATCCCAGCCAACTCGGATATCGTCGTCTTCCTCCTCCAAGTCACCCATCATCGAGCCTGACAGAACAGACGAGCGCGATCGCGATGCAAGAGCCGCTGATTCGGGCGAGAGGGCCTGGAAGTGCCGGGGGATGCGGGAGGCGTCGAGGTGGACAAGGAAGGCGTAGTCGGCAAGAGGAGGCGAGAAGAGTTGCTGCGGACACAATGTATCAGCAGGTGTTTCTCATGCGTAAGCTGTCACCAACGCACCTCGACAACGAGACCACCCCTGACGACACCGTCCTCGAGCGTCGCCAAAGTTGCGCGAGCGAGTCCTCGTATCCGCGCCGCGACGACCTTGTTCGTCTCGACGCCCCAGACGGTACCCTCGACGTCCTCTTCGGTCGCTATGATCCACGCGTGCTCGTCAATGTTGGGCTTGGCGAGCCGCAGTTCCTGGAAACTCGACACTGCCTGCGCCTTCTTGGTCGTCGGCAGTACCGCGCGACGTCCCGAGGTGACGGCGGAAGTGAAGGTGTAGATGGGGACGAGAAGAGGCTCGTCGCGCCACTTCCAGGATGCGAGACGCTCCATGACGCGGGCGAATCCCGTTGCACCGCTGCTCGGCGGGTTGAAGGTCGTGGCCGGGTCGATGAAGACGGAAGCGACAAGCAGCTCGAGCTGCTCGTCGGCAAAGTATCCCGACAGCATGTGCGACGAGACCCATCGCTTGAAGAGACGGACGGTGAGCGAGAAGAAGGGGAAGTGGTGCTGGAGAGTCGAGATGGCGGCGTGGTGCTTCGGGGCGTGCACGAATCGCTGTTGGTAGAGCTCGAGTGGAGAGGCGATGGCTGACGAGTTCACCGCGTCGCCGAGCTGCTCTTCTCGCTCCTCGAGGAGGAGCTGCGAGCGGTCATAGAAGATGCGGGCGCGGAAAGCCCAACCAGTCGCCGTGAGAATCTCGAGAGCGACATTGTCGTCAATGCTCCGTGCGTCAACATCGAAGACGACTTCTGCCCGCAGAACGGATCGCGTCGCCTCGAGACCCTCGCCAATCTTGCTCAGGAAGGCGGCCTTGATCTTCTGAATACCCTCGAGGTCGTCCGGCCACCGACCGGAGCTCTCGAGCGTGAGGAGCATGTCGTGCGCCTCGATGTATCGCAGAGAGTGCGGCAGTCGCTCGAAGTCTTTCAGGCGGCGGGCAGAAGGGGTGAAGGTCGATGAGTAGCGGAGGCCGGGTGAGCAGGGTTGCACGGATGCGACGCCGAGTGGCAAGTCGGGCAGCTCCTTCATCTCCTTGACGATGTCATCAAAAGCGGTGATGACGTTTGTGAAACCCTTGCCGGTCGCGACCGAGTCTTCGAGGTAGATCTGCCGCCGAACTGCAAGCGGTTCCACGACGAGGTGGTCCATGCCGCCAGCGAAGAAGTCGATGTTGGCTGCCGGGACGCCGTGCCGCTCGCCGAGGATGTACTCGACGATGCGCCGGACGATTGTGCTGCGCTGCGGACCGAGGCCATCGGCAGACGGCTCGTCCCAGACGACACTCTCGACGATCGCGCCGTCCTTGAACCGCCTCAACTCCGACTTGGCGCCCCAGAACGCGCGGAAGTCGGCGCATGCCTCCTCGTCTTCCGCAGACGGGCCTTGGTCGACAAGCCGCAACGAGTCTGACGGGTCGAGAATGAGTCCGAGCGAGAGGGTGACGGCTGAAGATGCCTTCGGGGCAGGTGCTGAAGTGGAAAGAGAGGGAGTCGGGGGAAGGGTAATGCGGAAGGCGCGAGCTCGCGTGCCGAGAGCTCGGGAGAGGGTGGAGTGGATCAACGACACGAGGTAGGAGAGGGAGTTCGGGTGATCGACGGCGGCATCAGCGTCGACCTTCGGATTCGCAGGGACCACGATACTGCGAGGCATGGCGTCAGACGGGTTTCGCTGTGGTGCATAAGGCGCAACTCACCGAGCAAAGTTGTCAAAGCGCTCTGTCACGCGGACTTCGCGGGCAAAGGCGCTGTCGAACTTGCGCTCGTCTTCAATTCCCGCGAGAAGCAAAGAAATGGTCTCCTTGGCGTCTTGCTTGAGCTGTGAAAGGGGCGAGTGGTCAGCACCCCATTGAGTCCGGCGGACAAGCGTAACTCACCGTCTCGAGGGTTGACAACTCGATACCGGCCGCGAGGTTGACTGTGCCGGTCGGGTCGACCAAGAGCGGCTTGCCCTTGAAGGCTCTTCGAAACTCGTCCTTCGAGTACTGCGGGCAACAAGGGTCAGCCGGCATCGCCGCAATCTCGAAGTGCGTTCGGAACACACGGTCTCGTCGGTCATCGACTTGAACCAGATCCCCTCCGTCCAGTTCGCGCTCGCAAGCCACTCGACCGCCTTCCTCCACCCCGCCCACGCCTCACCGCCCGCCGCCAAACTCGCCACATCTCCAGCCGCCGACTTCCCACCGACATTCAGGCTTCGCGCGACACACCATGCCCACCAGTCTGAAGTGAGGCCGAGAGAGGCATCGTAGCCTCTCCGCTGGGCCCAATTGCGAAGGAGGCGGACCGAAGAGGCGTAGGCGGGATAGGAGGTCGCGAGGGAGTGGTGGTACTTGAGGTGGGTCGTTGAGAGCGAGAGAGTTGAGAGGTGAAGAGCAGTCGAGTGCAGAGGAGTCGGAGGGAGAGAAGCGGGATCGAGTTGAGGGTTGTCGCCTTCCGTCGAGGCGAGGAGCGAGGGAGGCCGAACGACGTTGCCCGTCGGTGTGAGCTTGTTCGTCGGGAAGACGGTAGCAGGAGCGACGATGCGGATCCGCAGGACGGCACCCTTCGCCTTGGCCAAGCCGACCTTCTCCTCGCCCTTTTTGACTGCTGTCCGGATGTCGAGCGCATAGCCGAGAGAGCCGGGCAGAGGAAAAAAGGAAGTCCTGACGGGGCCGAGCGAGGAGGGAAGAAGCGAGGCGAGGACGACGAGGTAGTGAGCGGCCTTGACGGAGAAGCGGGGGAAGAGGTAGTCCTTCGGTTGGAAGAGGGACTGCTTGGAAGCAGTCAGTACGCTTGAGCACAGTTCAAGTGTGGCAGGACGCACCTGGGGCATCGCGACGGCAATCTCGACAATATACTCGCCCTTCTCCTTGTATCCTCCGCCCCAAGCCCAAGCACCGGTGACGCGCAAGTCCTCGCTTCGCGGCTTCTCCCACGCCAGATCCATCTTCGCCCACTTGCCGTTGTGCCCCTCAACAGGCGGCACAACACGGCCCTTCTTTCGCAAGCCGTCGAGGCTGACGGCCTTCTGCTTCGGCAGGCTCGTGATGTGCGTGTGGAGGTCCTTGAGGATGGGTTGGAGGGCAGACGAGGAGGATGCGGCCGGACTAAGCGAGTCGAGGAGCGCAGATACTTGGGTCGAGAGGACGTTCGAGATGGGCGAGGCGGTAAGTTCGGCAAAGGCGAGGGCGCGCAACTCGGCCGGCGAGAGCTTCTTCGCGGCCTTGGCCTTGCGCTTTTTGTCGAGTGCGGCGGCAGGCGCAATGAGCGGGGCGGAAGGTGCAGTCCCAACCGTTTCCCATCCTCCGTCGTCGTCCTGGTCCTCCTCCTCGTCCTCATCCTCCTCGTCCTCGTCTTCCTCGTCGCCCATCTCGCGATCCAGGTTCGCGTACAGGTCCTCTCCGTCGTCGCTAATCATCTGGTTGTCCATGTCGCTCCCCTCGTCCTGCCCGTCTCCTGCAATCGAGTCCTCCTCGTCCTCCTCGTCCGATTCCTGCCCATCCAGCGCTTCGAGCAGTCCGTCGTTGTCATCCAAGCTGTCCTCTTCGCCGCTCATAGTCTCATCGCTCCCCCCAAGTCCCTCGAACTCGTTGACTTCCGACTCGTCTCCGTCGAGCTCTCCCGCCTCGTCTCGTCGCGCAGGAGCCGTGCGCGCCTTCTTGGCAGCATGCGTAGTAGCAGCCGGTGCTGTACGCTTTGCTGAGCGGGCCATGTGAGCGTGAGTAGCGACGAGTGCGAGTGTGAGCTTGCTCGCCTGAGGCGGTGCGCTCGCTCACAACTCTCGAGTAAATCGGCGAGTGGACCAGTAAATCGTGTCATAGTGTGACGGCTCGTATGCTGGTGTTGCCACACTCAGGCGTTGCGAGGCGAGGGAGTGCCATCGAGGAGAGATGTCAACTCGCACTCTCCTCTCGCGCTGTCCACGCGCTCGCTCATGGCTGTCCCAGCTCCCAAGGCGCGCAAGAGCAGCACCGACACGCCTCCGAAGAAGAAGGCCCGTCGTGTCGCGCCGCCCGAGTCGAGCGCGAGCGAGGACGACGAGCACGCGAGTGCGAGTGGGGTAGGATCGAGCGAGGATGACGAGGTGAAGGAGGTGAAGGGCAAGGCGAAGAAGAGTAAGGCAAAGACGGTGAATGGGAAGAAGAAGACTACGGGGCGGAAGGGCGCGAAGGGGGACAAGGAGGACAGACCGAAGGCAAAGGGCAAGAAGCGCAAGGCAAAGGACGAGTCGGACGAGGACGAGTACAGCGGGAAGGACGCTACGGAGAGCGAGGAGGACGACTACGACAGCGACGCGTCGGGCGGGCTCAATAGGCGCGTCGTCAGGACCGTCAAAAAGGTCGCAGGTCCCGACACCAAGGGTGAGTTCGCTCGTTCGCCCCTCTCCACGGCTCTCCTGACGCTTTCTTTCGTCGCACAGCCGACACTCATGTCGTTCTCCCGACGACGCTCGAGTTCTTGGCGGATTTGGCGAAGCATAACGACCGGGAGTGGTTCCAGCAGAACGGTGCGTTCCCTCCGCGTCCTTTATCCTGTCGTTCACTGACCCCCGTGCCCTCCACAGACGCCCGCTACCGCCACGCCTTCCTCAACTTCAAGACGCTGATCACTGCCTGGGTGCCCGTTGCAAGCGAGGCCGACTGGACGCTTCCTCACCTTCCCGCGAAGGACCTCATGCATCGGATCTACCGCGACGTGCGCTTCTCGAAGGACAAGACGCCCTACAAGCGGTACCTGTGCGCGTCTCACTCGCGCACCGGACGCAAAGGCCCGTTCGCGCTGTACTACTTGCACATCCAGCCGGGCGGCAAGTCGTTCGTCGGGTGCGGGTGCTGGTCGCCCCAGGCCGACGTGCTCAAGCTCATCCGCAACGCGATCCTGCGCGACCCGAAACCGCTCCGCAAAGTCCTCGCCGAGAAGGAGTTTGTCAGGCTGTTTGGGTCCGACAAGCCGCGCCTCGATGGCAAGCGAGGAGGCATCTTCAACGCCGATGACCAGCTCAAGAACGCGCCCAAGCTCGAGGGCGTCGACAAGACGCACAAGGACATCGACTTGCTCAAGTGGGTGTCGCCGAGCTTTGAGCAAGTCGTCGAGACTGACGAGGACTTCCCGCAGGTGCCGGTCGTTCGCCGTCGAGACGCACTTTCCCGACGACGTCGTCCTCGCCGACGACTTTCTCCAGACGGTCAAGCATGCGATGGAGACTGCCGCGCCGTTTGTCCAGCTGCTGAACGAGGCGAGTCCGCCGTCCGTCCCGTCTCACGAGCGCCGACTGACCTCCCATCCTCCGCAGATCATTTCGCCTTCTCCTCCGAGCGACAACGACGACAGTGACGACGACGACGAGCAGGGCAGCGGATCAGCAGAGGAGGACGAGTCCGAGTGAGCGGAAGCCGAGGAGTTTGAGCAGGTCGTTATGCAGGGCGCGCTTGGACGGAGTCGCTTGGTTCGGGGGATGGTCTTGGGTACCTGTTGGCGTGCATTCCAGCCATGTACAGCCTTAGTTGACCCTGTGGCGAGTGCTGTTGCGCGGGATGAGCCGTTCGAGCAAGTTCCGCTGAGCATCGCCAACTTGCGCTCGCTCGCTCTCTCTCCCTCACGCTCTCACGCTCTCCCGCTCCCCTTCTCCCTACTCAAAGCCAGACTACAGCAATGCTGTCTGCCGCTCGCTACTCTGGCCTCCGCGCCGCCCGCACCCCGCGCTCCGTGAGTCCTCCCTCATCCCCCGAGCCATCGCACATCGCCACCCAGATTCCCCTCGAACGGCAGCGCTGGCAGGGCTCGTTCGTGATTGCAGAGCATCGTACTGACATTGTTTGCACACTGCGCCATTCGTCACCCTTCCCGCCACCCTCGCTCGCCGACGCTGCGTCCTCACCCGGCAGGCTTCGCTCGTCCAGCAGCGGTTCAACTCGGGCAAGGTCTCGGGTCCCGTCATCGGCATGGACTTGGGTACCACCAACTCGTGTGTCGCTCTCATGGAGGGAAAGGTCCCTCGTGTCCTCGAGAACTCGGAGGGTGGCCGGACAACTCCCTCGGTCGTCGCCTTCACCAAGGAGGGCGAGCGCCTCGTCGGTCTCCCCGCCAAGCGCCAGGCTGTCGTCAACTTTGAGGTGAGTGGCGAAGCGGCGCTTGAACTGCTCGGACCGCGCCGTTGACTCTCGCTCGGCCTCCCGCCTGCAGAACACCTTCTTCGCGACCAAGCGTTTGATCGGCCGCAAGTTCTCCGACGCCGAGGTCCAGAAGGACTTGAACAACGTTCCGTTCAAGATCGTGAAGCACTCGAACGGCGACGCGTGGCTCGAGGCGCGCGGACAGAAGTACTCCCCGTCGCAGATCGGCGCTTTCGTCGTCGGAAAGATGAAGGAGACGGCCGAGGGCTTCCTCGGCAAGCCTGTCAAGCACGCCGTCATCACCGTCCCCGCCTACTTCAACGACTCGCAGCGCCAGGCCACCAAGGACGCCGGAACGATCGCTGGTCTTGACGTCCTCCGTGTCATCAACGAGCCTACCGCTGCCGCCCTCGCCTACGGCCTTGACCGCAACGACTCTCGCCAGGTCGCCGTCTACGACTTGGGAGGCGGCACGTTCGATGTCTCGATCCTCGAGATGCAGAAGGGCGTCTTCGAGGTTAAGTCGACCAACGGCAACACCCACCTCGGAGGCGAGGACTTCGACATTGCGCTCGTCAACCACATCGTCGAGGCGTTCAAGAAGGAGTCGGGTCTCGACCTCTCGAAGGACCGCATGGCCATCCAGCGTATCCGTGAGGCCGCCGAGAAGGCCAAGATCGAGCTTTCCTCGACCGCCCAGACCGACATCAACCTTCCCTACATCACCGCCGACGCCTCGGGCCCGAAGCACATCAACCTCAAGTTCACCCGTTCGCAGCTCGAGCAGCTCGTTGGGCCCTTGATCCAGAAGACCATCGAGCCCTGCAAGAAGGCTCTCTCGGACGCTGGCATGAAGGCGTCGGAGGTTGAGGAGGTCATCCTTGTCGGTGGCATGTCGCGCATGCCCAAGGTCGTCGAGACGGTCAAGTCCGTCTTCGGCCGCGACCCGTCCAAGGGTGTCAACCCCGACGAGGCTGTTGCCGTCGGCGCTGCCATCCAGGGTGGTGTTCTCGCCGGCTCCGTCACCGACGTCCTCCTCCTCGACGTCACCCCCCTCTCGCTCGGTATCGAGACCCTCGGCGGTGTCTTCACCCGCTTGATCAACCGTAACACGACCATCCCCACGAAGAAGTCGCAGACCTTCTCGACCGCTGCCGATGGCCAGACCGCCGTCGAGATCAAGGTCTTCCAGGGTGAGCGCGAGCTCGTCCGCGACAACAAGATGCTCGGCAACTTCCAGCTCGTCGGCATCCCCCCTGCGCCCAAGGGCATCCCCCAGATCGAGGTTACCTTCGACATCGACGCCGACGGCATCGTCAACGTCTCTGCCAAGGACAAGGCCACCAACAAGGACCAGTCGATCACCATCGCTGCTTCCTCGGGTCTCTCCGACAAGGAGATCGAGTCGATGATTGCGCAGGCCGAGGCGCACGCGGAGGCTGACAAGGCCCGCCGCGAGCTCATCGAGGCTGCCAACTCGGCGGACTCGGTTGCTGCCGAGACGGAGAAGGCGCTCAACGAGTTCAAGGAGCAGGTTGACGCTGAGGAGGCGAAGAAGGTGCAGGGCCTCATCACCGAGCTCCGCGAGCTCAACGTCAAGGCCCAGGTTGAGGGCTCGGATGTCAAGCCGGAGGACATCAAGGCCAAGGTCTCGGAGACCCAGCAGGCATCCCTTAACCTGTTCAAGAAGGTTTACGAAGCCCGCAGTAGTCAGGGAAACTCTAACCAGGAGGCCCCTTCGTCGGAGCCGTCGTCGGAGGAGAAGAAGTAAACGTCGTCTCCCCGACCCGTTTCCTCCGCCGTCTTCGACTTTCCGCCTCTCCCTTCGCTCTCCACTCTCCTTTCTCTCCCACGCGCCCTTGCGACGCCACCGCGACCGGCGCCACCCCCCAGCGCCTGCCGACGTCGATTCCCCTTCCCTTCCCTCCCGCCTTCGCATCGGTTCCCCTCGCATGTCGTTCTTCCCCGATCATCTAAAACGCGCGTCGCCTTCTGTCGCCTCACCCTAGACTCGGTCTCCCTCTGTTTCTCTGTCTCGCAATCACCCCGCTCCTCCCCCTTCTGCCTTTCCTTTCCGGCACTCTCTAGCGCCTAGTTTTCGGCTCTTCTCGACCCTCCCACACGTTGTGACTACCCCCATGTACTGAAATATCGAAAGAGTTCCGAAGCAATTCGTCTCCTGTAACGAGAGGAAGTGCGAGTTGGAAGTCGCTCGTCTTTGACGCACAGTCTCGCTCGCATTCCTCCTCGCCAATGACTCTCTTCGCATCGGATGCTGAGCACTAAACGGGTGATATTGACATAGCCGACACAAATAGGGAGGAAAGTACGGGACACAACGACAGACCTGGTCAAGGGAGGAGAGGCGAGTTTGCCTCGCGGCGTGACTGTACACTCGAGCGATTTACAGCTTCGCGCCCATGATCTCCGCCACCTTCAATGATTGCCTGATACCGAGGTCTTGCTGTGAACGTCAAAGACCGTCAATACGCGAGGAGAGCTGCGAGCGAAGGAAGAGAAGCGAACCATGATCTGCAGGAGGCGCGACGGCAGGGTCAGCACCGCAAAGGCCTACAGGAGTAGTGTGGTATGTAACGCACCTCAAAGGAGCCTCCAGGGATCGAGAAAGCCTTTGCGTCGCGGTAGAGTCGCTCGACCTTCTCGCCTTGTCCGCCCTTCGAGTACGACAAGCCACCGAAGATCTGGCAGGCCTACGCACAAGTCCAAGTCAGCTGATGTTGTGGCGAGACGAGGAAGAGGAGCGAACGAACCTCGCGCGCGCAGAACTCGAGGGTCTCGGTCGACTGCGCCTTGAGAAGCGCCATCGTTCCGCCGCCACGTAGCGAGATCGTGTCGTGGTCGTACTGCGTGGTCTGGTAGACGACTGTGCGACAAGCTGTGTCAGCGGGCAACGGAGAGACTGGCCATCGAAGGGTGAAGCGTACCAGCCTCGAGCCAGGCGTGCGTCGACTCGATCTTCTGGGCCATCGAGGCGAGCTGCGCGCATGCTGACATCAGTTCTGAGCCTACTAAGTGAGCGAACGAGACGGACCTTGGCTCGGATGACGGGGTGGTCGATGAGCTTCTTGCCGAAAGTCATGCGCTTGTTGGCGTACTCTGCGGGCGCTTCAATCAGCAGCGCTCCGCAGCGAACGTAGGAGCGAACGCACTGATGGACTCCTCGAGACAGACGCGCGCGAAACGGTTGGCCTGCATCGCGATACCGCCTCGCTCGCCGTTGAAGCTGGATACGTCGAAAGTCAGCGGGCTCGAAGCGTTCCAAAAAGACTGAAGCGACTCACTTGCTCATGATAATCTGGAATCCCTTGTTCTCCTTGCCGAGGAGGTTGCCGACGGGGACCTTGACGTCCTCGTAAGCGACGTAAGTTGTCCCGCTGGCGAGGACGCCCATGCAGTCCATCTTGCGTGTCGTGAGGCCCTCGGTGCGCTCGACGACCATGAGCGAGAGGCCACCCATACCCTTGCCACCCGTACGAACCGCCGTGACGAAGTAGTCGGCGTAGACGCCATTGGTGATCCACTTCTTCGTCCCGTTGACGATGTAGTGCTTCTTGTCCTCCGAGAGCTGCGCAGTCGACACCAGGTTTGCAACGTCGCTACCGCCCTCCGGCTCAGTGATGGCGAGGCATGAACGCTTCTCGCCCTTGAGCAGCGACGGGAGAATCCGTTTCTTCAGCTCGTCGGAGCCAAAGTGGAGGATCGGTCCGCAACTGATTGCAAAGCCGCCTGCGGAGCGTAGCGAGCGTCAGTTTATGCTTGAAGAATGGGGAAGAGCATGAGAGAAGCCGGGGCAGGCGTCGAGGGCGAGGAAGCGGAGAGGAACTGTCGAAAGTGAGGAAGAGCGTCGCCGTCTCCCACCAAGCAACGAGCTCAGCGAACGATTCACACTCACCGAGAAGGCCGTAGAGAATGCCGCCGGAACCGCAGCGGGACATCTCGCTGCGCGGCACGGACGAAAAGTCAACTCGCGAGCCAAACGTCGCTGACACGTCCGAACTCACTCGACGACGATGAAGTTGTGGAACGCGTCCCACTCCGCCGGGTCGAAGCCACCGGGGACGGGGATGCCCTGCGCGTACTCGGTCGGCCAGGCGCCTGCACCGGCGGCGATACCGGCGAGGATTCCAAAGTCTGCGATGCGCTTGTACTCCTCGGGCGGGATCTGTCGCGCGTCGTCCCAGGCCATCGCGTTGGGCGTCAAGTACTCGTCTGCGAAGAGAGGAAGCGTAAGCTTCGACTCTGATGGGCAGAAAAAGGGGACGAACCGGTGAAGGCGCGCATGGCAGACCTGAGCTTGCGGTGCGAATCCTTGTAGTACGGACTGGCCCAGTCTTGGTACCAGAAGGGGTCGCCGAACGGCACGAGGTCTACGGAGGGCGGAGGGTTAGCATGAGACCGATCCAGACGAGCAAGAGAGGAAACTCGCCGCCAAAGTAGGTCGTGTCCTCTTCCTCCTCGACCTGGGCCGGCGCATCCTCCTCGACCTTGTTCTCAACAGCCTCCTCGACGTCGGTACCCTGGTTCGCCTCATCGCCGACCCTGCCGATGAGGAACGGCTTGGCCGTCTTTTCGAGGACCGACTTTGAATGGAACGACCAAAACTTCTCGGTCGCGTCCTTGCCGCCCTGGTTGATAAGAATCTTCTTGCCACCTGTACGGAGGAAGCGAGCCACGTGAGCGAGGTGGCGAGGAGAATCGAGGGAAACCAGGCGTACCGGGGTGGTCGTCGAGGAACTTTGTGCTGCAGGTCCCTCCGAGCAGGTCAGCGTGAGTTGCATCTGTACGAGCAGTCGGGAGCGGACGCACACGTCGTACACGCCCCCCTCCACGATGATCCACACGCCGTCCTTCTCGCTCGTGTGCGAAGCGACCTGCTCCTTGGTGAAAGTCTGCGGGGCGCGGCGGGCGATCCGAGGATGTCAGCCGGGCTCAACAGAGTTTCCTAGTAGCTGCACACACACCTGTTGCGGCATTGCTGGATGTCGACGAGAGCAGGAGCGATGCGACCACTTCGAGGCGAAGTCGCCGTCCCCACCTCGGCAGCGCTGGCTTTCACACGCAAGCTCGCAGGACTCGTGAACACCAGCAGGAGCAGCGTACGATCCTCGCAAAGTCCCGCGCCATCCCGCAGAGCAGCTCGCGCGCTTGTACGAGCGAACCGCGACCCCGCTACTCCTCGACCTCGTTTGCTACCCTCACACCGCTTGAACAGGCTCAATCGCTTCGAAGACTGGCTTTGCTACATCACCAAATGCTCAGGACCTCGCTGCGGCCGTGGCACCGCCCGGCGTGCTGGCTGCGACCGTACTCGACCCTCCCATCGCTCGATCCGGCACTCGCACCGACACCAGACCCCGCCGAGCGCAAGGCAAAGGCCAAGGCAGACTGGAAGCGCCGCGCACAGGGCTCCAACTTTGTCGACACGCTCAGGGTGACGGTGGCGTCGGGAAAGGGAGGGTCTGGCGGGGTCGCGTTTCATCGCGAAAAGTTCGTGGTGCGTACGGCGGTCTCAACGTGCAGTCTGGGCGCTTGCTGAGCTCTTGTTGTGACCGTGCGCAGCGCCGCGGACCCCCGGCAGGCGGGAACGGCGGTGTTGGCGGGTCCGTCTACCTCGTCGCCAGCCCAAGCGTCTCGAACCTCTCGCATCTCGGACGGACGGTCAGAGCTGGCCCAGGAGGAGCAGGGCGAGGATCCTGGCTAGGAGGTGCGCGAGGCGAGGACGCCATCATCCGCGTACCGGTCGGGACTGTCGTACGCGAGATCCGCCAGAAGTCGACGGACGAGGAGGTGCTCGAACAAGAGAAGGAAGAGCGGAAGGAGCTCGAGTGGGCTTACGAGGCGAACAGGATAAGGATGGAAGAGGCGCAGGCGCGCGAGATCCGCTGGCAGAAGTGGAAGAAGCGGCGGGACCAGGCGGAGAAGTTTGGAGACCCGGACGATGTCGAGGCGTGGGAGGAGCTCGACGAGGAGCCTATTGCTCAGCACAAACTCGACGCACTCGTTAAGCTCCGCAAGGCGCTTTTCGTTATGTACCCCGGCGCCGAACTCGACGGCCATCCGGGCTTCCTCCGCACAGAGCACCAGCTCCTCTCGAAGATGCTCTCGCGCGAAATTGACATGCCGGCGAGTCGCGTCAAGGGCCGCTTCCGTCGCAATCGCGCATGGGACGAGGAGGAAGATGATGCGCCTCTTTACCTCGACCTCGTCAAGCCCACGCCGATTGACGACCCCATCCTGCTCGTGCCGGGAGGCCAGCCAGGTCTCGGCAACCCCTCCTTCTTAACCCACGAAGACCGCTCGCCGAAGTATGCGACTCGAGGAGGCGAAGGAGACCGGGTGATCTTCGAGTTGGAGGTCAAGTCAATCGGCGAGGTTGGTCTCGTTGGGTTGCCCAACGCCGGCAAGAGGTGCGCCGCCGTCGATGCTGAGCTGCAAGACCATGCTGATGCCCTGACCGCCCGCAGCACCCTTCTCCGTTCCCTCACCTCGTCGGCCCCTCGCGTAGCCTCGTACGCCTTCACCACCCTCAATCCTCATCACGGCACCTGCATCATCTGGTCCGACGGCACCTTCTCCGGCCCTCGCGCGGCCCCTCACTCCTCAGACGAAGCCGAGATCAGCGACACCCCTTCGACTCCTCTGTACTTCTCCGCCGAGAAGCAGCACGCCTCGCGCGCCGAGCGGCGGAAACACCTGCCCGCCGATTTCCCTCGACGAGGGGATTCTGAGCGCTCGGAAGTCCTGCGGTTCACGATGACCGATAACCCTGGCTTGGTCAAAGACTCGTCTCTCAACGTCGGGCTCGGACACGCCTTCCTGCGACACATCGAGCGCTGCTCGGCACTCGTCTACGTCGTCGACCTTTCCTCCCCCGACCCTTGCGGCGCTATTCGTAGTCTCCGCAAGGAGCTGCGAGAGTATGCCCGGATGAAGGAGATGAGGGAGGGCGAGCTGGAAGGCCGGATCCGAGGTGTCGTCGCCAACAAGGCGGACTTGTTTGGGCCTGCTGAGGCAGAGGAGCAGGTTGAGATGGATGCGGGAGAGGCGGATGTTGATCCTGCTGCGCTCGAAGAGGCCAGGCGCAAGTCGGCCGAGGACGGGCGGAGGAAGCTTGTCGAGTTGATGGAGTATGTGCGCGGGGTGGAGAAGGAGGAGATGGAGGCGGGCATCAGGAGTCCCGAGGACCCGATCTGGGTCGTCCCCATCAGCGCGAAGAAGAGGCAGAACGTCCCGGCGCTGGTGAACAAGCTCGCCGAGACGGTCAAGAAGGAGCGGGCTCGGGCGGCGGAGCAGGCCAAGGCGGCTGAGGAGGCTGAAGCAGGAGAGGAAAAGTACGAGGAGGACGACTAGACGACCTGTAGCATCCCTCGCACACTTCTCGCATCCATCGCATTGTTGTAACGCATCGCATGGCCTCTATATCTATAGCCTCTACATCTATGCGACCTCGCCCATGATCTCCTTGACGTGGTCCTTCGGTGCACCCTGAGCGTTCGCATACGAGAGGTAGGCGCTGCGAGAGGACGAGAGTCAGCGGTTTAGTCGTCGGAGGCGAATCGAGCGGGTGCGCACTTCCAGAAGAGCGAAACAACTGCCAACGAGAACGACTCGTCAGGACGCGCAGACAAGCGAGAAGAGAGCCAAGGACCCACCGTTGACGACCAAGAGTCGCAGATGCAGCGGGACAACAGAGAAGTTGATGAGCTGGACAGGAATCCAAGTCTGCAGGAGCAGCGTCTGTCAAAATCTGTCGCTCGGTAGACAAAAGGACGCCTTGACGCACCCCCCAGTTCTTCTGGATCGTCGGCCACCACTTGTTTTCGATGCGGTTGCGCGCCTCGGAGAAACCCTTGCCCTCGAGCAGGGATTGGCAAGTGAAGAACAGCGTCAAGACACACGGCGTGAGCACGAACTGGTCGACGCCGACGCGAGCCACGGTTGCTGTAGGTAGAGCGAGAGTAAGGACGAGGTGAGCAGGGAGGCGGGGAAATTTGACGAACTGGCAACCTTCGACTGGAACCGGATTCGCTCGATTCCTCCGTACACTCGCGTGATCAGAGGAGCGAAGATCAAGCCTGTAGTGACAAGGGAGGCGGACGGGAAGGGGGTGAGCAGGAAGGAGAAGTCGACTGTCAGCTCCTGCGAAGGTCTGGGTCAATGCAGCGATCACGCACCGCCGTATCCTGCCAGCCGCAACGTCCGCATGTACTGCGAACATCGAAAGCAGTCAGTACAATCGTTTCTCCGCCAGGGAAAGCGGGCCGATACCGACGTCATGGTCCGCACCCCTCTTCTCGATGCCCTGCTGTGCAAGAACGTCTCCAGCGCCAAATAGGAAGGCAGCGGAGGCCATACCCGTTGCATACGGTCGCCGCATGCTGTAGTGAGGGGTCAACGCGAGGTCAGCGGATGCCAGGAGGGTGCGCTTCGAGGCAGATAAGGCGCCTGGTGGATGCGCATGGACGTGAGACGTACAGAGCCGAGTTGTAGGCCCGCAGGAGGTTCGCCATTGTGCTGTGTGTGCCGCGATACGAGTTTGAAGTGGGGCGAGCTGATGAGAAACGGGGAAGGGAGAGAAATCGGGTCGGCGGGCTGGGCGGTCGACGCTGGCGGACCCGAGTGAGCTATCTCGAGCTCAGAGCGCGGTGAGAGCAGTCTCAGCCTTGTAAGCCGTTGTGGGCAGCGAGAGGAGCGAGGGAGACCTTGCGGGGAGGCGGTGCCGGCTTGAGTTGGCCTGCACCTCACTCGCCAAGCGCTTCCACTGGCTTGTTGACTGGCTCGGGCTGCTCCATAGGGATGATGAGCGACGCTGAGTTTCCCGCCGCCCCGCCCACCGCTTTCCTCGCCAAGCAGCATGCCCTCTTCGCTCTCCGGCACGCCAAGTACCTTCCGACGCCGTACCAGGCCGAGGATGCGAGCAGGTGGGTCGGAAAACTGTCAGATTGAAAGTCAGCGGCACTGACGACTCGACTGCACCTGCCAGGATGACGCTGGCCTACTTCTGCCTCGCTTCCCTCGCTCTGATCCCTGCCTCTACAGTCTCTACGGCCGACCCTTCGCTTTCCGCTCTCCAAGTTCTGCTCAAACCGACTCAGCGGGAGGGATTCATCGACTGGGTGTACGAGCAGCAGACGGCTGAGGGAGGTTTCCGAGGTTCAGACTCGCTCGCGGCAGCAAGGTGCGGTTCCCAGTCTCGACCATCGAGCATTGGTCTGACTGATGACCCCTGATCCTGCACCAGGCATCCCATCGCAGAAGCAGAACCGTCAACGTCCGCCGTTAGCTCGCTCGACCCGCCAAACCTCATCCAAACCTACACGGCTCTCCTGATCCTCGGCCTCCTCGACGACACTTTCGAGCGACTAGACCGGCAAGGTCTGTTGCGCTTCATTGGCGCGTGCCAGACCTCGGACGGCTCGTGCGTGACCCCTTCCTCCATTCTCCCTCTGCAAGCATTGTCGCTGATCCCGCTCTTCTGCAGGTTTCTGCAGTTCCCCGGCTGCTCAGAAGCGGGAGACCCTCGATCAACGTATTCTGCATTCGCCGTCGCGTCAATGCTAGACGACTGGAGCACAATCGATGTCAACCTAGGGCTCTACTTCCTGAACTGCTGCCGAGTAAGCCCGCCCCCTCTCTCTCCTTGCTCACAATGTTGGTGAACTGACGCACATCGTGTGCAGCGGTACGAGGGAGGCTTCGCTCAGCGGCCCGGGCTGGAAGCGAACGGTTCGTTCACTCCCGCTCGCTTCGCCCGACCTACATTGACGAAATGCATCTGCTCGCAGCCGGTCCGACGTACTGCGCCATCGCCTCATTCAAGCTCGCTTCCCGCCTCGCCGATCTGGCAGAACCGCATTCCTTGTTGCGCTGGCTGATCGACCGACAGATCCGCCCTCCACCGCCTGAACCGTCAGATTCTTCGGACGAGGACGAAGAACAGGAGCGTCGAGGACCTGTACGAGATCCGAACGATGCAGCGGGCTTCCAGGGCAGGGTGAACAAGCCGACGGATGCATGCTACAGCTTCTGGAATATGGGCGCAATCTCAGTTCGCCCCTTCTCTTGTCTCTCAACGCTGCGGCGATAGCTGACCACTGTTCCCCACAGCTCCTCCTTCCAGCCATCGCGCCGGACCTCTCCATTGAGGACGTCCTCGACCCAGCACTTGACCGAACATGGCTTCTCGACTGCCAGCACAAGGTCTTTGGCGGAATCGCACGAGAACCTGGCGCGCGCCCAGGTCCGTAATTCTCTCATCATCCTACGCCGCGGAGACTCACGCTCAAAGTCCGGACAGACGTCTACCACACGTACCTCTCGCTCGCTGCGCTCGCGCTCGGCGATGCAGACGGAAAGGTCCTGAGCTTGCGGCGGCTCGATGCAGGATGGAATGTCCCTGTCGAGGTCGCGGAACGGATGCGGAGTAGATTGTGGAAGAAGGAGCGATGAAGGCAGACTTGTTCAAGAATTCACTCGAAATGCTTTGTGCGGCGACTGGCTCGCTCTCCCGTGAAGCAATCGCGGGCAAGGCGGTCCTCAAAGATGTTGCGAATCGTGAAGCTGTGCATTGTACAAGCAAGAGCAGGTATCGCGGGCGACACAACCACCCGTCTTTCCCCCCTTCTCCCTCATCCCGTCTACGAAGCCAACCCAGGCATCCCTCGAATCGATTCGCCGTCTAGCTCGAACCGGTGACCGCAAGCTTCTTGAGGTGCTCCCTGCGAGACGGACAATGATCAGCTCCATTGCCCGTTAAATCGAAGCGAGACCTGGCGACTCACATGAAGACCTGCAGCGAGACGTCGTCGGTAAAGATGGCTGCGCCGACAGGAGGCTGGCCGTACTCTGCATTGAGAGGAAAACCCGAAGCGGGTCAGCAGGCTTACTCACGAGAACCGGTGACAAGCGCGACTCACGGCCGCCGGATGCGTGCGTCGTCGAAGGGTTGAGCTTGGAGAGCAGGAAACGAGCTTGCGAGCCGCCCTGGTCGGTCTGGACGTATCGAGGCAGAGGGAAGCGGTCGGCGAGGAGGTCCTGCAGAAAGCGGGCGAGTCAGCTTGGCATCGCTCGGAAAGCGATGGGAAGTAAGGCACCTGCGCGTCCTCGTGCGGCAGCTTGAGCAAGTCTCGCAAGTTCTCGTAGCCGTCCTGGTCCTGGTAACCCGCCTTGCGCCACTGCGCAATCGTGTCGCCGTGGAAGATGAGGATGTGGAAGAAGGTGTCGAGGAGGAGAATGCGGTCGGGCTGAATCGAGATAGAGTCGAGGAGGACAGCTTCAGGTTGGGCTTCGAGCGCGTAGCTCATCAGCGTCGGCTGGATCATGATGAGCGAGTTGTTGACGTCCTCCGAGTTGAGGATGTGTCTGCGAGCAGGAGCGAGTCAGCGCCGGTAATGTAGCTTAGGGACACGGCGCGAACGCACCGGTAGTACGCCGTCTCGTCGGGCGAGTTGTTGAAGACCTGCAAGAACTGACTTCGCCGCAGGTGGAACATGAACTGCGGGTAGATGACAAAGTTCTCGTTGAGGCGGAACGACGACGGGTCGTCCTTGCGGTACTCGGCGAACTTCTGGCAGAGGCGGATGAGCATGCGGTCGAGCCAGCGCAGGACGTCGGGGCTGTCATCGATCTCGGCCTTGTACGTCGCGATGCGGGCCATGAGCACCGCTGCCGCCTCCTGGTCAAAGTTGTCCGAGATGGCCGGGTTGCCCGGCTCTGCAAAGTTCCGCGCGATGGTTGTGACGCGAAGACGGTACTGTCCGGACGAGTGCTGGTAGTGCGTGACGAACTGGATCGTGCCGCGGGCGCCGGGTGCGAGAGGTTGGCCGGCGGGGGTGACGACTTCGAAGTAGACGGCGTTGGCTGTCCGCGGCGTGAGCGAGCAGATCTTCCACGCCGACGTCTGGCCGATACCGATCTCCGTCTCGCCGACCCAAGCCGACTTTTTGTTCGCCGAGATGGCGTGGCCGATCAAGCCCGACACTTTCAGCTCCTTCGTGGTCTGCGGGGAGGAGCGAGTCCTGATGAGCAAGAGCGCAGCGAGCTGAAGAGCAGCGCACGCACCTGCACATCGAACGTTGCATTGAAACCCATCTGCAAGTGCCCCTGGTCGTCCTTCGCAAACACTCGACGCAGCGACGCCTTGAAGAGCTGCATGCTGAACGAATCCGCAAGGACCATGAAGCCGTTCGTAAAGTTCGACAGCGTCTTCATCTCGAGCAGTCCGACCTGGTCGAGGCAGCCGATGAAGATGTCGATGGCGTGGCCGTTCTGTGCTGCGCGTCGTGCGAGCGCCTCGTAAAACTGGGCCGAGTGGGCGGGTTAGCCTGCGATGAGTGGAGAGGAAGACCTCGGAATGCACCTTCGTCGCCCGCTTGAAATACTTGACGTTGTCCCGCTCGATATCGTGGTGCGAGCGAATGGGCTCCCTCAGCTCGACGCCAACGACCATTCCAGGTCCCTCCGTCGCCGGTCCACCGGTGAACAACATGATCCTCGCGCCCGTGTTGGGGAACGTCGTCTCGAGCAAGCCGACTGCAACGCTCATCGCGACGCCGGTGCAACGCTGCGCACGCTTGTCGGACGGAACGGGCCATGCGTCCTTTTGCAGCGTCTCGAGGATGGTCGTGAGGCTGTACTCGACTTGCGAGACGGGGAGGAGGAAACGGGCTGCGCCGGAGAGAGCAGGAGGAGGGGCGTTGGGAGGAGGGCCGCCGGGTCCGCCTTGGCGGGTTGGAGGCGCGAGGCCGAGCATCTCCATGATCGACTTGGTCGTGTACTCCTTCGTGCCGCGGAAGACGAACGACTTCGGGCACTCGGTATAGCCGAGCTCGTGCACTTGGGCCTGCGAATGGCGAAGAACGTCAGCCTGGACTTGCAGATTGTGAGGAAAGTAGACAAACCATTGTTCCGTAGGTGATGAGGCCGACGAGCGCGTGAGGCGGCATGTCGTTGATGGCGACAACGAGCGCCTCCTTGAGCGACTTCAAGTCATCCTCCTCGAGGCAGGTGTCGACGACAAGGAGGAAGATGGGCGGGATTTGGGCGGGGCGCGAGAGGGTGTATTCGATAGTCGTGTACTGGGGCAGGAGTTCGGCGGGGAGGTTGTTGTTCGAGATGTCCTTGTAGTGGGGAGGGAAGGCGTTGCGCTGAAGACAGAAGGGGCAGATCCACAGCTTACCGCGGACGTCGATCTGGCAGTACGGGTTGAGGATGGCTCGGCAGGGAGCCTTGCAGGTGACGGGTTCGTACAAGACGGGCGGCAGGTCGGGACGGTCCTTCAGCGGAGTGTACAGCTGTGCGCGTGCGATTGCAACCCAGTCAGTCCACGACAACAGGACCCAGCGGAGAGAGCGAGAGTGAACGCACCGCTCCGATGGGCACGACGGTCCTGGTCGCCTCGATCCTGCTTCCGGCCCAGACGTTCCACGAGAGCCTGACGCCGTCGCGGTCCTCGACCTCCTCAAAGTCGAACGCACGCGGACCCGACATGAGGCAAGCGGGGGGAGGGGGACGTGTCGAGCGAGGAGAGCAGCGACGCGGGTGCTTCGAGCGGGCTGGACCGGGTTATCGGACGCTGCGAATCGATCTAGCGGGTATACGAGCGTGTCCGCCCCGAGCAGAGCGCTGTGCAAGTGGTGGGCGAGCGAGAGCAGGGGAGCTCGCCGACGACAGGCTCACCTCGCACCTCGACCACTCCTGCCACCGCACTTGCTGCGTGTACGACATCACAGACAGCTAGAACAGCCTCCAGCGAGGTCAACAGTCCCAATCCCGTTTCAATAGGCCTTGTGGTCGCACCTCTCCATCGCTTCAAAAGGTGCGTTGCTGTACACAGCGCTGCAGCGGGCTGGCAAGGCCTGCGTTGCCGCAGAAAGACTGACAGAGGACTTTCTGCGCTACAGACACGCTCTCGCCGCCTCCGCTTGAGACGACACCTTCCCCTTCTCCTCCTCGACTTCCCGTCCTCGACACCCTTCACACCCCTCTCCGGCCATGCGCGCGACTCTCCAGCTGCTGAGCAAGGCGTCCAGGGCTCCCTTGACGAGCAAGCAGGGCAACAAGAACTACTACAAGGGTGAGTTCGTGACCGCTACATCCCTCGGCAGTCTAGTCAGGCTGTTGAGGGTGACGGGCTCCGCTGAGATCTCCTGCTGACATTTCTCGTTTACTCACAGGTACCGGTTCGCACCCTGGTCTCGGATCGAAGCGAACAGGACGACACGCTGTCGGCAAGGCGCCGTACATCATGATGCCCGAGCGAATGAGGCGGTTCGTCGTACCCGAAGGCCTCAACGAGACGGACCTCAAGCCTTACGTAGCGGCGAACGTCAGGTTCGACTTCAAGAACGACAGCGGGTGGCCCATGGCGAATTCCAAGCCGACGTTCGCGAGCAAGCGACAAGGACTGTTCGGCCCGAACGGCTTCGATGGGCACTACTACCTGCAGTTGGGCGAGCACTTCAAGGGCATCAAGAGCGAGTAGACGGCTCTGGATTGTTGGGCGGGAAGGCGTGCATCCTTGTTCTGTAACTCTAGCGCATTTCGTTCCCCTCTACCTGCCGCCTTCCTGCGTGTTGTTCTCCCAGTGAGCTGTGAGATCGCTCCTCGACCGTTCTCAAGCTGTCGTCTCGCCGAAGAGCCAGTCGTCTCGTCCTCCCCTCGCAAATCGACCCGTCCCGCTTCTTCCACCTCTCCCACTCTCCTCCTCCTCTCAGATCCGCTCAGACACCCCAAGAAAGTGCGTACATGGTTCATTGAGCACCTTGAAGCCGCCCCTTTCGCCCGCTGACCCTCCCAACCCCCTGCCTCGCCTCATCACCACCGCAACCCGTCTCGTCGTCTCTTCGTCCGCAGTGACATCCTGCGCTGTTGCCATCGTCGGCGTGGGCCTCGTCGGCAAGCAGGTCGTGCACCAGCTCACTTCGCCCGCCCTCTCGCCGTTGTTCAAGATCATCTCGCTCACCAACTCGCGCCATACGCTCCACCTTAACCCCGCCGCTCCCTCTCTCGACGGCCAGACCCTCTTGTCCCTCCTCCCGCCTTCGTCTGGACCTTTGCCTTCGTCCTCGGCCCACCCGGCCGCGAGCTATGTCGCCGCCAACCCGACAGAGCTCGTCAAGAAGCTCGCTGCCGACGCTCGTCACTCGAAGCAGCACACCATCCTGATCGACTGCACCTCCGACCTCTCCGTCACCGAGCTGTACCCTACCACCATTGCGTCCGGCTTGTCCGTCGTCACCCCCAACAAGAAGGGCTTCTCCTCGTCCGCCGACCTCTTCAAGCAGATTGTCGAGGCGCAGTCCGCACCGAACGCAGGCCTTGTCTACCTCGAGGCGACCGTCGGCGCCGGCTTGCCTATCATCTCGACCCTGCGAGACCTCCTCAAGACTGGTGACGAGGTCACCAAGATTGAGGGCGTCTTCTCCGGCACCATGTCATACATCTTCAACGAGTTCTCCAAGCCGGCGTCGGGTGGATCGGCGGGTCCCAAGTTCAGCGAGATTGTCAAGATTGCGAAGGAGAACGGCTACACCGTGCGTCGGAACCTCGCAGCGGGAAACGCGCGACTGACCTCCCTTTCTGTCACAGGAGCCGCACCCTGCCGACGACCTCTCGGGTTCTGACGTCGCTCGCAAGCTCACCATCCTTTCTCGCCTCCTCTCGATCAATCCCTCTTCCCTCGCCGCCCTCCCCGACCTCCCCGAAGGCTACGCCTCCCTCTCGACCGAGACTCTCATTCCCTCTGCGCTCGCCAACATCGCTTCGGGCGAGGAGTTCGTCCAGAAGCTTCCTGAGCACGATGCCGAATTTGACAAGCTTCGCTCGGAGGCTGAGGCGGAGGGCAAGGTGCTTCGCTACGTTGGAGTGATTGACCGTGCATCGGGTGTCGTCAAGTGCGGTCTCGAGAAGTGTGCCCCCTTCCTCTCTCTTCGCTCTCCTGTGCTGATCGTTTCGCCTTTCGCAGGTATCCCGCCGCCCACCCCTTCGCGTCCGCGCTCTCGGGCTCGGACAACATCGTCGCTTTCCACACGAAGCGCTACTCGCAGCGCCCTCTCATCGTCCAGGGCGCCGGCGCCGGCGCAGACGTCACTGCCATGGGTGTCGTTGCGGACGCGATCAAGGTTGCGGAGAGGCAGGGCGTCCGCGTTCACCTGTAGAAAAGGGATTCTGTCGTGCATAGACGGGTTGACCCACCCTCCCTGCCTGTCCTTCCTTCGACTCCAGAGCGTGCACGAGCTTGCTTGCTAGACAGAAGACGCGCAGCAAACGCTGCCACGGTTGCTGGCCGTCGTCTTTCGTAGCCGTGCCAGGGTTTCGCTACGACCGTTCACTTCTCCTCGCTGTTCGCTCTCTGCTCGCTAGAATGCCGTCCAAGCTAGATTTGGAACACATAGCGGCCATCGCCCAGCCGGCACAGCTGCCGTGCGGCCTGACTCTCTCGAACCGCCTTGTCAAGGTCAGCCCCCACTTCGCGAGTGTTCACACCGTTGGCGGGATTGACAACGCGCTACCATGCCAGGCAGCAATGGAGGAGATGCTCTCGAACGGCGACGGACTGCCTAGCGAGCTGGACGAGGCACTGTACGAGATCTGGGCTGAAGGAGGTTACGGCATGCTCATCTCAGGTGCGCTGCCACTCTCGCAGAGGGATTGCGGACGACAGGACTAATACTCGCAAGCTCACAGGCAACGTCCAGGTCTCGCCGAAGCACCTCGGAACACCGCTCGACATCTACGTTCCCTCCTCGCCGTCCCCTTCGACCTCTGCCGCTTTCTCCCGCTGGGCACAGTCGATGCGACCACTCTCCGACGCTCCTCGACCCCTCGCGATCATGCAGCTGAATCATCCGGGTCGGCAATCGATGCGGTTGTTCTGCGGCCGACCAGCTTCGCAACCCTCTCTCGCTCCTTCCGCCGTACCGATGGCTGTCGGGCCAAACATCCTCGGCTACGCTGTTGGACGGCTAGTCTGGGGTACGCCGGAGGAGATGACGGCGACGGACTTTGATGAGGTGGTCGAGCAGTTTGTTGCGGGAGCGCGACTGGCGAAGGAGACGGGCTGGGACGGTGTCGAGCTGCATGCGAGTCACGGGTACCTGCTCGCGCAGGTTATGAGTCCGAAGGTGCGCACCAGTCCTCCAGTTCGAATGGCTCGGCCCAGCTGATCGTCGACCTTCGAAGGCCAACTTGCGGACAGATGCGTATGGAGGAACGGCTCGTAAGCGGCTCACCCTCCTCTTCCGCATCGTTGATGCGATACGAGCGGAGCTACCACAGAAGCGCGGCTTCTGTGTCGGTGTCAAGCTGAATTGTTCAGACTTTATCGTGCGTCTCAGACCACCTTGTTCTCCGAGATGCGCGTGCTGACAATTCTCCAACGAGCAGAAAGGCGGCTTGACAGTACGAAACCTCGTCAATTCTCGCTTCAACCGCTACTAACGCTTTGTGCCGCAGGAACAAGACGCGCTAGACAACATCAAGTGGATCGCAGAACATGGCGGGATAGACTTTATCGAGATCAGCGGCGGTACCTATGAGAACCCAGGTGTGCAGCACGGGTCTCTGTTAACGCTCACAGACCACTGACGCTCGTCGCCGCAGAATTCATGAATCCCGACGTCTCCCTTCGACCCTCGACCCTCCTCCGAGAAGCCTTCTTCGACGCTTTCGCCCACCGCGCCCGATGGCTTCTTTCGACCCTGCCACCCTCCTCTCTTCCTTCGCCAGCTCCTCTCGTCCTCCTTACCGGCGGTCTCCGCTCTCGAGCCGGCATCGCTCGCGCCCTCTCCTCCTCGACCAAGTCACCGCCTGCAGCAGACCTCGTCGGTCTCGGTCGTCCCGCGGCCGCAGATCCCTTCCTACCACACAAGCTCCTGCGAAAGACGGTCCCAGGCGACATGGCGCGACCACCGTCGTACGACTCGCTCGCTGGCGTCCGGTGGATCCGGTTCCTCTTCGGCTGGCTCGCAGTTGCCGGTCCAGGCTTGGACGTCTTCTATCACACCATGTTGCTGCGGCAGATTGCGCTGGCGCGAATGAAGGAGAAGAGACGGGTCGAGCGGCTGAACGGACCGAGGAAGGGGGACGGGACGCCTACAAAGGTTGTTCGGACGGGTGTCGAGGGAGAGGATCTGCCGCTAAGCAACTTCTGGGTGCTCGGATGGCGAGTATGGGTTGCGCCGCTGGTACCGGCGTGGATGCTGGGGTTGGCGGGCGCTCTCGTGTTTGCGGTGCTCGGTAGGGGATGGAAGTGGGCAGCGTAGACGAGCGGTCGTGGTAGATGGAGAGCGAGTGCACTGAGAGCGCACGCTCACAAGTCTCTCGGTGAGACGAGCACTACGAGAGACGAGGTCAAATAGCTGGATTGCGGCGGACGCCCAATGAGATACGTTACAGGGTATGACGGATGATGTTTTTGCGGCGGCAGGTATGCATGTGTACAGATGTGTAAGGGCGAGGCGCCGGAAGTCAACGCTCCTCAACGTCGCCCGCTCAGTACTCCTTCTTGGCGAAAGACCGCAGGTACTCGTAGTCCTCCATGCAGTCGTCGGCGGCCTTTTGCAGCTCGGGCGAGAGCGTCGTCTCCTTCTTTGGCGCGGCAGGCGTGTCGCTCGCCTTGGCGTCCGGAGTTGTCTGGCCGATGCCCTTGCTCTTCGCCGCATCGTCGTGGAAGCCCTTCCACTTCTCGCTGCGAGGTGCATCGTGGACATGTCAGTAAGGCGCCACGAGAGGCCGGGATAATGGCGAAAGAAGGGCGCAGAACGCACAAGTGGGTCCGCGTCTCCGGCGCATCGTCCCACTCGAGCATCTCCTGCTTGAACTCGATGCCGACGTGGTCGCACCACGCCTTGACAACCTTGGACGGCGCCTTCAACAGCTCCTCGCTCTCAACGAGAAGAGGCGTCTTGCCCGTTTCCTCGCGGATGAAGTCGAACAGCATCCGCAGCTCCTTGTAGCCCATTTCGGACGGGTCAAAGTAGTCGAAGCCAGTCGGTGCGCCGGGGTAGCAGAGGCGTGCGTAGGAGGGAACGGCCTTGTTCGGATGGCGGATCAAGAAGGTGTGCGAGATGTGAGGCTGGAGGAGTTCGGATGTCGGGATGAGGGTAGGATTGTTCGGCGTCGTCTCGGCGCCATTGAATGATGCGGCGACGGTCCCGTTGGGAGAAGAGGTGTCGATCAGATATTGCGCCATGTCTGCGGGCGTGAGGTGCGAAGGTCAGCGAGAAGCTTCGACACTGCCACCTGCTGTGCAGCGTCCTCGTTCGACGCATCGTCGCATAAGAGTGCAGGAGAGCGCGAAGCTAACCTTTGGAGAACTTCCGCATGGTCGGGTGAGGTTTCGCGACTTCGGCCCAAGCCTGCGGGTGACCGGGATCAACCACGCCCGGGTCATTCGGAACGAACAACGCACCTTCGCATACGAAAGCTCGCCATGCCCACTCTCATCGCAAATCTTGTCGTCAAACCGCTTGCTAACCCGCTCCTTCGAGTAGTACCACGTCTCTCCCATCGGCTCGTGCAGGACTTCGAACTCGTCCGGACGGGCGAGCAGCATGCACTCGAAGGCCGTCGAAGTCGAACGAGGATGAACCCAGAGAATGATGTTGCTGGGCCGGCTGGACGACGAGGTAGAGGAAGAGGCGGCAGAGCCGGTCGAGGGTGTCTCGAAGCTGGCGTCGGGCGACATGATCGGCGTGCAGTCGACAGGAGCAGCTCGGGCGGCAGCAGAAAGCGAAAAGGAAGCGCGAGAGGGAGGGGAAGAGGGCGAACCCCCGTTCCGCCGTCCGAGCGAACGAGATCGCCGCGCTCGTCCCGGCTGCTCTATCGAGAGCCGTCCCACTCGCGCGAACTGTGCAACGCGTCAGAAGAGATGGCATCGGGTGAGCGGGGAAACTCGAGCTGGCCGCAGGGCCGTGAGCGGGCGGAGGCAGCGTGGGCGTGCGTCGAGGGGCGGGAGAGGCAGCAGACGGTGGCAATAGCAACAGTTCAGCCTGCGAAAACGCAAAGTCAGCGAGGAAGGCGGAAAAGAAGGCGAAGAGGAACCAAGAACGGACGAGTTGCGAACGAGATCAGTTTGACCTCGCGTCGAGCCACGTTGATGTCTGCATCACTACTTGCGCACGCATGGCAACAACGCCGACGACATCCCGAAGAGACCTGCAGCGAGCACTCGAGGCGATCGGAGCGGACGAGCGGCGGACGAACACCTGGCTTGTGCGGATCAGCCTGGTCCTCCTGCTGGCGGCTTGGGCGTGGCAGGAATACGCTGGGCGGCCGCAGCCGAGCAGCCGAGGAAAGGGACGGACTGGCGACGAGGCTGGCGGTGCGCGAGTCTTCGTCTGGGCAGGAGCGGCGTAAGTCGAGGAGCTTGCGAGACGAGTTCCTCCGATTCGCCGATGGCTGACGGCCCGTTCTCGTCGACCAGAATGGCGGTGTTGAAGCTCGCGACGCGGTGGTACTTTGTGCGGGCCAGGCGAACGATAGGTGCGTGTCGAAGTCGTCGTTTGTTCGGGCGGCTACGGTCGAGAGCGGGCGCAGGGTTTCACCGGGCGGAAAGTGGTAGCAAGCTGAGTATAGTCTTCGTCTTATGCAGACGAAGCGCTGCTGGAAGGCGCCGTTGGAGGTGGGAGGAGCGAAGGGACGGGAGGGAAGGAAAAGGCGAAGAAAGGCCGGCGATGACAGCGGAGGCGGCCGTGAGGGGCTGCCGCTCGGGTGCGCTACGAGACGATATCCATCGGCGACTTGAGAAACCTGTCGAGGCTGTCAGGTCAGCAGAACGAGGCGAAGCGTTTGCAAGGGAAGCTGTCGTCCTGGTTTCATGACCGTCAAGCTCCTTTCCGATGCGTTCAGCCCGTGTGGCCTCTTTTTCCCCGTTCCAGCTCCGTTCCGCAACAGTACCAGCCCGCGAAGCCGTTCCACCGCAGAATGACCGGAAAGATCTGCGCGAAGCGAGCAAAGTGGGCCAGAGAAACGAGGAGAGTGGGGGACTGGCCCGAGGGACTCCAGTGGCAATTCTGGACCCGCAACAAGGGTTCTGGCGAGCAGCGAGGGAGCGGTTCGTGGTCAAGAGGTCGCTCAACTCTTCGACGAGGACCACATCGCTTCCTTCGGTTTCACTTGCTCTTGACGGGCTTCCAACCGGCTCAGGCTGTGGCTATGGGTGCTCTGCTCAGCCGAGTGCGCACGCAATTCTCCCCGTCCCCTGCTCGTCCCGCTGGCTGACCTGACATCACTTACACCGCCCCTCCTCACCTCGGCACGCCTCTGTACGCCCTATGAACAGCCACGCGAGCCCGACTACGACTCCTACCTCTCCAAGCTTCAAGGCCAGATTGCCGCGCGCCAGGCCCGGCTGCAGCAGATCCGCCTGCGTGAACGTCGGGCAAATGCACTCTTCATCACGTACGGGCTCGGGCTGTGGGTGCTGTATGCTGTGCTGTGGTACTTTGGGATCGTGGGAGTGAGTGGAGAGGAGGACTGGCCGACTAGGGCCGCGAGAGGGGCACCTGTTATCGGTGGACCGGTCGCGTGAGTTCCCGCCAGGCTGTCGAAGCGGAGCCAGACTGACGGCGTTTGCCTTCACAGCATCATCTGCACACGACGGGTATCGCGATGGTACTTTCACCGCAAGCAGGAGAAAGAGGGTGCGCGAGTTCGCTGTACCTACTACGTTCCATCCCCCACAGGCTTTTTTTCGCAGAGGCGACCTTGAAGACGCTCGTCAAGCAGAAGCAGGACAAAGTCGAGGAGATCAAGAAGAAGACGGGCTACTACATGACGCGGGACTTGCTGGAAAAGTACGACGAGGCGCTGAAGAAGGGGGTGCGCACAGAGTTCCGCTTCTCGCAAGTTGCACCACTGAAGCATCGACGTTCACTCCTTGCAGCCCGGCGGAGCAGGCTCAGCGCCTTCTACTCCTGCGAAACAGACCGCGAAACCTGGCGCAAGGGCGACACCTCAACAAGTCCCTTTCCCCGGTTCTCCCGCGACACCCGCTCGTCCAGGCGTTCCTCCCGGCTTCGCGACGCCTCAACAGCAGCGTCCCGACCAACCTGGCACCCCTGCAACTCCCGTAATGGCCGCCTCCGCCGCCGCACAGTCGCAGGCACACATGGCGTTCCCTCCTATGCCGCCTCCCACCCCTCACACCCGCTCGCTGATGGACAAGGTCGCCGACGCGCTGCTCGGCGTCTCGCCTGAGGAGGCGAATCCGTTCAACAAGTATGCGCTGATCTGCGCGCGGTGCTATTCGCACAACGGTCTCTGCCCGAAGGAAGAGTTCGACTTTGTTCGTAAGTCGGAGTTGTGCCTCGCTCTGTACAGCGCTGGCCCACACAGTACTGACGCTTGTTACACTCGCAGAGTACCGCTGTCCCCGATGCGGCTACTTCAACCCACCTCGGCGCGATCCATCCTCAGCCTCGAACCCCTCGCTCACGACAAACGACCAAGCGCGCCATCGCCGCGTCCACTCCGAGTTTGCACCTTCGCCTCTCAGTGCGACGTTCGGCGCGGACGCAAGGCCGTTGAGCGTGGCGTCGAGCGGGAGTGCTGAGGGAGGAAGCAGGGCGGTCGAGGAGCGCGAGGAGGACGACTCGCCAACGGAAGGACGGGTAGAGTCGGCGGGGACGGAGAGTGAGACGAAGGAGATTAGCACGACGGCATTGAAGAGCGGGGAGGCGAGTCGGAGGCGAGGGCGCAAGGCGGCGGAGTCGGACGAGGACAGGATGGACACGGACGAGTAGCGCGCGGCTTCTCGGGCAAATCGACTTGGACTTACGGTCATCACGGTGTCCTCGTCGCTCGCCAGCAGAGGGAGAGAATGTTACGAGTCGTTTGCACCGCCCTCCAGGAAGAGCGAGGTCCGCGGACACTCCTCGCGCAGCTTCGTCTCGCGCCTCACTCGCTCACGGCGACGACGACGGTGCTCGAGTGGCTGGAGAGGCTCACAGACACCGCTGAACGGGATCCACTGGTCGCTGCTCGCTCGCCTCGCGTCGCTGGCTCTTCATCAGCTCTCGCTCGCCCATTTCGTCTTCTCGCACGGGGCGTCTGACTGTGCGGCCTTTCCGTCTGGCTAGATCCGCTGGGACATGAACGGTGAGCACCCCGGCACTCTTACGGAACCGCCAGACTGCGCTGACACGGGCGGACTCGTCTCTCAACTTGAAATCGGCGTCACCAACCTCGAACAGGGCTCCCTCAACCCATCTCCGCGCCGTACGACCAGCCGTCGCCCTTGACCGCACCGCGTCCACAGCCACCGCCGTCCCAGATCCCGAGCGAGAACCTCACAGCAACTGCAGACGCGTGGGGACGAGGATCGACTGCCTCACCTGCACCTCCGCCTGCCGTCAGCGCTTTGCAACCCAACATGCCGCCTCCGCCTCCGCCGCACCAGCCTGGAGCGGGAATGTATGGCGCACCTGGACCGTACGGAGGAGGAGCGAGTTACCTCGGAGCAGGAGCAGGAGGCTCCCACCTCGCACGGCCAGCGAGCTATTCCGTCGGCGGGAGTGCAGTATCAGGCGGGTACGGCCCTCCTCCGCCGAGCACGATGCACGCCCGTCCCGCCTCGTACGCCGCCGGCGTCCCCTCCGCCTATCCGCCCGCCAGCAACGCCTACTACCAGCCTCAACCGCCTATGCCTCCTCCTCCTCTCCCTTTTACGATGCCACAGCCCGGCTACCTCTCCGCAACGCCTTCTCCCATGCTCGGTGGCGGCCAGCCCGCGAGCGGCTTCGTCTCCCGCCCTCCGCGAGTCGCGAGCATGCAGCCGGGCGACTTTGCTGCGCTGCAGAGCGGTATGGACGCGATGAGCTTGGGGAGCGCGACGCCTGCGCTTGGAGGATACGTGACGGGCGGTCCAGGAGGTCGTCCAAACTACTACGCCAACCCGGAAGACGGCCCGCCGCACAAGCTTGCCGTCACGCAGCCGGACGTGAGCCGTCGGTCTCGCATCCTCGCCGCAGCTGAGTACTCACGGCGTTTCGCACACAGCAAAAGCTGCTTGCGTCAATGCGGGAAACGGCGCACGCAGGCGGAGGCGACATGCAGAAGAAGGTTGCCTGGGCCAAGCAGGTCCTCAAGTTTATTGAGCGGCATCAGTCGTCTGCTGGCGAGTCTTCGCGGATCACCGACCCGACTCTCGTTCGCTGGACGGACGAAGCCCTCAACCACATCCTCGCCTCTGCCTCATCGCCCAACCCCGTCCCGCTCGCCCTTTATCTTCGCGGCGAGCTCTCCTCCTCCGGCTCGTTCCCTTCCTACCGCTCGAAGGACGCCAAATCCTCCTTCCGCGACTTTGAAGCCGCCGCGAATGCCGGCTACGTCAAGGCCTGGTTCCGCATCGGCCGAGCGTACGAGGACTACGGCGATATTCGGCGGGCTGTCGGCGCATACGAGAAGGGCGTCGAGAAGGGCTGCTGCGGCAGCACGTACAGACTTGCCATGGCGTACCTGCTGGGCCAGATCGGCGTCACGGCGGACGTGCCCAAGGCGCTCGGGCTATTGAGGCGGGCGGCGGACTCGGCAGACCTGGACACCCCTCAGCGTGCGTCCCGTTCCCTTCTTGACCTCTAGCCGGTCTCTGCTCATGCTCCTTCGCTCGCAGCCCCTTACATCCTTGGCATGCTCCTCTGCGGCGAGTTTGACGCGCCCTCCGTCCAGCTCAACAAGTCGCTCATCCCGATTGACATTGACGAGGCGAAATGGCGAGTCGAGCGGTCGGCGTACCTTTGCTTCGGTCCGGCGCAGTACAAGATGGTGCGTGTCCTCGAGAGCAGCTCCCGTCCGCACTTGCTGACGACTCGCTTTCGCAGGGCTACGCTTACGAGTATGCGACACTCGGATGCTTGTTCGACCCGCTACTGTCTGTGCAGTACTACGCGCTCGGTGAGTCTCGCGCCGTGCGCTGTAGGGCGTTGACTGACCTGGCTCACCGCAGCTTCGCAAAATGGCGAGGTCGAGGCCGACATGGGTGCGCTCAGCTCTCGCCGCTCACCGCCGAGCTCGACTGAACCGTCCTTTGCGTGCAGCTCTGTCAAAGTGGTACCTCTGCGGCTCCGAAGGCAACTTCGAGAAGAACGAGGCGCTCGCCTTGACGTTCGCGGAGAAGGCGGCGGCTCGACAGCTTCCTGCGGCCGAGTTTGCGCTCGGCTACTTCGCCGAGGTCGGGTTGTCGGGTGGAGTCGACATCGAGAAAGCGAAGCGGTGGTACAGCCGGGTGAGCTCTCAGCCCGTCGCGCATCTTCTGCAGCCTTTGTTGACCAGCCCCCTTCTCCAGGCCGCTGGCCACGGCAACGACGATGCCAAGAAGCGCCTCGAGGCGTTGCAGCTCTCGAACCCGGAGACGCTCAACCGCAACGACCACGACGCCAACGTCGAGACGAAGCTCATTCGCAAGCGCACCGCCGCCAGGATTCGCTCGGACGAACAGCGCGAGCGCCTCGCCTCCTCGAAGCTTGCCGCATCGCTCTCAGGCGCCAACCTCGGTCCCGGTCCAGGCGGCCACGTGCCTCCGCCCGTCAACGTCCCGCTAGCACAGGCGCAGTACCAGCACGGCATGCGACCTCCGAGTGGTCAGCCAGGCGCGTCGTACCCGTCGCAAAGCCTTCGACGGAACCACACGATGCGTCAGGTTGAGGAGGCGGCACGGATGGGTCCTCCTCCGCCGGGCACACCGAACCCAATGAACCCGATGCGTCCAACCCCCGGTCGTTACCCTTCGCCTTCGCCATCTGGACGTCAAGGATACCAGCTTTCGGATGCCCCGCCGAGTCAGCGACCTACTCCGCAGCAGCAGCACCAGCAGCCGATGCGGCCGCCGCCTCAGCAACAGCAGCAGCAGCAGCAAGGTCGACCGCAAGGTATCCAGGTTCAAGCTGCGCCGGACAAGCACAAGCCCGCTACTTTCGCCGAGATGGTGCGCCCCCTTGCGAGCGGTGATGACGGTCCTTTGCTCACTTCGCATGCTTTCCCGCAGGGCATCGCGACGCAGAAGGCGAAAAAGGACGACTGCATCATCGCCTAGAGCGGCGCGCAGCACGAAGGGACGGATGAAGCGCGACGCCGTGAGAGGGTTACAGGCGACTTCCGACCTTGCAAGCCTGCCGGCTCGTCTCCTCTCGATCTTCCGCTCCATACCGACGACGATATGCAGATCTTATCTCTCCCTATACCCTGTCGACCACATTCTCCCTCGCTCTCCCCTGTGTATACCCCTAGACTTTTTGTCGGTCTTCGTTCGTTCGACCGCTCTCTGCACCGACTCTGCAATTCGCATATCGCACTTGTGACACTCTCGCAGCTTGCATTGCGTCGGTTTTTGCGAGCACACGTCGGCATTACGTCCGTGAGGAGGGGGTTTCGCTTCTTCCCCTTCGCTACCTCCCCTCCCGCACACTGAGTGCAGCTACAACGACCCATCTCGACGCATTAAGCTGTGTACGTCGTCCCCACAACTGCTAAACACCTCCCATCCGCTTGCTCCACCTCGTTGGTCCTCGGCAAGTGCACCGCTTCGTGCAGACCAAGGAGGGCTTCAAAAGGTACGCCGCCTCGCTTTGCAGAACGCTAGAGCTGCCTACTGCTTGGGCGCGACCGCACAAGACTGACAAGCCTCGCTTCGTGCAGCCATGGCGTCGCTTCTTCACGACGCAATCCTCGCGACCCTCTTCCTCTCCGTCTTCCTCTTGCCCGCCTACTTCTTCCTGCCCACGTTCTTGCGACCTCTCATCGAGTCGTCACGCGCCCTCGCGAAATCGCTCGCCTTCGTTCTCCTCGCGGCCCTCCTCTTCCTCCTCGTTCTTGTCGCCGCTCTGGTCGGCGAGAAGGCGTACCGTCGATGGGTACTGGGCGTACGTCCACCTACAGAGGCGGATCGAGTCGGTGCAGTCGGGCCGGACGCGAGTCCTGAGGAGCGCAGGCGTGCGAAACGCTTCTCGCGCGAGTCGAAGATGGACGCGGTGGCGGAGAAGGTCATCGACAAGCTCGAGGCGAGTAGCGTCGGCAAGTTGCTCAGAAGGAAGGGCAAGGGAAAAGTGTCCAGGTCGGGAGACGTCGAGTTGAAGGACCTGCGAGGTTCGGCCGCCGCGACAACGGCGAGGAGGCGCACGCCGCCGCCTCCGCCTCCCTTGCCACCGCGGGCCTGATGAGCGGGTGATTGAGGTGCATCGAGCCTCTCTCTATCGGTTCGGCAGAACCTGCTGACTCTGGGTCTGACCCAACGGCTTCGCACAGCAAGTTTTCTGTACCTACGTGTCAATTGCTACACTGTACCGGAGTGGCGAGACTTAGCACGAGTGGGGTATGGAGAGCCAGACAACACGTACGAAAGAACAACAGAACGAAGGAACAAAGGGATCGAGTCTACTCAAGCAGTCGTTACGTGCGTCTCCGCCTCACCAGCCGCCGACAAGCTGCTGCAGCAATGCCTGCGTCGTTTGCTCCGTCGACTCCGATGCGCCAGGCGTCAGCGATGCGCCGAAAATCTGAGGGTCGAAGCTGAAAGCGGGCGCCGCTGCTGACCCTGCACCCGTCGAGACGACGCCTTGCGACCAGTAGTCCCACGTCTGCCCACCAAGGTTGATGAGGCCCATGTCCTGCAGCAGGTTCGACGAGAACGACCCGCTGAGCGCGTCGCCGTAGGTGTTGCGTGAGAGCGCCTCGTCCGGCTTCAATTGCGTGTTGAAGAGGTTGGGCGTCGCGACACGAGCGGCGTCACCGGAGTTGACGGACGGGAGGCTGACGGGCGTCGAGGTGGTCGACAAGGGGAGGACGGGGACGGTGCCGGCTGGTGCGGCGGAAGAAGTGGCAACTTGCTCCGTGTCGAGCTCGCGCGCGAGAGCTTGCAAGATCTGCGAGAGAGCGTATGTGAGCGCGGGGTAAACGCACAGGAGACGAGTCAACGCACCTCGGCGAAGGAGCGCTCGGCGGAGCTGCTGTCGCCCGACATCATCCTCGCAAGGCGACGGGCGCGGCGCTTCTCCTGCTCGAACAGCAAGCCGCTGAGAACTGAAGTGTCAGCGACGGGTTCTGCGAGACGTTGGCCAGTGCGGCTCACCTCAGGACCTTGCGAGCAGACGAGATGATGTTCCGCAGATGGTGTGACGCGACCTTCTTCTCGATGTCCTCGCTGAAGATCTCAAGACTCATCGCGAGCACCTCCCTGTCCAGCACATGGTGATTAGCGAGATGAGGGGAGGAGGGTCAACTCGAGAAACGCACTTCTTGCTCTCAAGCTCGGCGTCGGTGCAGCCTTCGTCGATGGCACTGTACAGAGTTGGCGAGTTCAGCCTAGTCACTCCAACTAGAGCAGAGGATCACGCACTGGTAGAGGTCGGCGGCGAGAACGGTCGCAGCGGTCAACGAGTGCTGTGCGAGAGACGCATGTCAGCTTACGGCCTAGCGAGGCTACCGTCGACGACGAACCGAGTACATCATGCGCAAGTTGCGGTTGATATTGATATTGTTGTGGTGGCTGATCAAGACGATCTTGGCGGCGCGGATGCAAGCGTCCGTGCTGCGCGGAAAGGGCGTCAGACCGGCTCGTGCTGGCTCAAGCTGATCCAAGAGAGCCGCACCTGTACGCGAACTTCGAGTTCGGCTCCCAGCCCTTGACGAGGAACGGGCGGTGCAGGCGAACGAGGCGGTTCTGCGGTCAAACGCGACAAGCGGTAAGCTCGGCGCTCGTCAATCGTCTGTGCGGAAGGCGACTCACGTTCGTTCCCTGTAAGACGATGTAGCGCTTCGCCCGAATGATCGGGTCCTTCGTCTCGAGGGACACGTACTCGTGCTGGAAGACGTCCGGGAGGTTCGCCATCAATTCGCGGTACTCCTTGTCGATTTCGAGGATCGTGCCATAGTTGAAGCCGTTCTCGTCGGCGATGAGCAGGTCGAACGTCTTGCGGTTGCTGTGAGCAAGCGCATTAGTGCAGGTATTGCAAGGCCGGGTGAGGCACGCACATCATCGCCATCGCTGCTTTCTGACGGTCAAGCGAGGCGTCCTGTCGTGCATGAGGTGTCAGCTTGTGGTCCCGGAGTGGTAGACGAGGAAGGCGCACGGTCAGGATATTGTTGGGCGCCGGCGTGACCCTCCAGTCGTCCATCGACAGGTCGCTCCAGTTCAAGTTGGACAAGAAAGCTGTGTTCGTATGTGTCGGGTTAATGGCCTACAGGTAGCGGGGTCAGCTTGTTGAAGTCCGGAGAGGAGCAGCTATCTCGTACGTAAGCCTTGAAGCGAGCCGAACTGCCAGCACCCAAGGAAGGTCAGCTCGATTCACCCTGGATGCCTGAAAAGGGTTCCGACGCACGCAGCGAGGTAGTCGAAAAACCGCAGATGACCCCACAACCGCAACGCCGACTCGCGCTTGAACGAGTTCTTGCCAGGCGGCCAGGCGGGGTCGTCAGGCGGCATGACTTCGGGGTCGCTTCCGAGCTGATGGAGACCGAGTCGCTGCGCGGATGTGAACAATTGAGCGCGGTAACGTCTGAGCATGAAGGTACAGCCCTTACTTGGCCTGTTCGAATTGCCGCGGCGAGCCAGGACGAGAAGCGGCCGAACTCGCCTCCGTACGCCGACACCATCGTCCACTGCGTAAGAAACGCGAGCGTCAGTATCAGAAGCGATACATAGTGTAAGATTGAACGCACGCAAGCGAAGAGGATGGTCACCCTGCCGGAAGAAGCTGCGTCAGCGAGCGCGCGGGAAAAGGGAGGAAGCGCAACGCACTGGATTGCGCGGACTTGTGGACGACCGAATGCATCCGCCAGCATGAGCAGCTTCTGCGACGCCGCATGGTACGACGCGCCCTGCGACTTCCAGTCTCCCTTCTCGCCGGGTGAGCTGACGACCGTCATGGCCATCGACTCGTCGCACGAGAGCGCGAGGACGATGGTGTAGAGCGCGAGCCACGCCGGATCGACTTCGTGTCGCCTTCCCGCCTCGTACATCTGCCAAAACCGCTCGAGTTCGGCAAAGAACGTCTCGCGGTGGATGACGGGGAAGAACCAGTCGAACTGCTCGAAGTAGCGTTGTGCCGAATCGTAGGCTTCGTGCTTCGGTGGCAGGATCGGAAAGATCTTGTCGAGCGTGCGCAGGCGTTCGGCGTCGAGTTCTGCCTGGTTCAGACACAGGTCGAGGCCGAGGTTTGTCGATGTCGCCGGACTGACGAAGATGATGCGGGGAGCGACGATGGAGGTTCGCCAGGCAGTGAAGTCGGGCTCGGGAAGCTGCATCAGGGTCGTGCCGCTGTTGGCGAACTTGCCGCTGCCGCCAAAGATGAGGTTGTCGATAACGCCGAGGTCGTCAGACTGGTGACCGGTAGGATGCTTGCTGATGGCGCTCTCGAAGGAGGGGTAGTCGATGGGCTGCGAATAGGACTGTCAGCGAGTATCGCAACGGGAGAAGGGCGGGTACGAACAGCGTCGGCTGCGCTCAAATCCTTTTTCGGCCTTTGCCCCATCATCGACACGCCAAGCTCGGCAAAGGACGCTTTGAGCGGCGCCGGAAGCTTGTTGATGAAGCGCTCGACGAGCTGCAGCCGTTCGCGAAGTTCGTGAACATCGGTCGCGAGCGCGAACGGCTGCTTTTCCGGCTCGATTTTGGCGTCCTCCCAGCTGCATGCGTCGGGTTGGTTGCGCTGTGAATAGTAACGAAGTCAACGCGGGATCCGAAGAGCTTGAAGCGGTGAACTCACCTTCAAGCAGCTCGAGCAAGGGATCTTGCGGTCGCACTGCGGGCCGTAGCGCGTCAGTACGAATAACAGCACATTGCAGATGACGCTCCGCACCTTGATCTTCCGGCGCTGCGTCCAGGAAAGTTGAAGTCAGCTATCTCGACGGGGGAGCGTGCCGAGGACGACGAGTGGAACGCACCTTGCACTCTCCGCACGACAGGGACTGCTTGGAGCGCTTCCTCGCTGGTATGCCGTCGCCCTCTGCGCCCGGGCTGCCATCGTCTGTCCCGTCAAACACGCCGCTCGTCCTCGCGGCCCTCTTCGGCTGCGACGGCCCCGCGACGGCTCCTGCGTGGTTCGCGCGCGCGCTGTCGACGTGGATGGGCGAGTTGGGCGAGTCTGGCGAGTGCGATGTGCTCTGGTAGGCGTACGGTGCGGGGTAGGCAGGGTGGTGGTGTCCCCCTCCCGATGGGGGTCGTGGATGGTGTGGATGGCCGACGCCGTGGAGTGGGTGGGTCCGCTGTGCGCCTGGGTGCGCGCTCATGACGGTCGCGAGCAGCTCGAGGTTATCCAGCTTGGGCAGCAGCAGCAACTCTTCGCCGTGTCAGCGACGAGTCAGCCAGACTCCGCCGCCGAACGCCGCGAGACCGCGCAACCCAGCAACGGACTCTCCGAGCGAGAACAACAACACGGCTCAATGGCGTGGCAAAGCAGTAGAGTAGGATTACAATCTACTAAGGACAGCGCAGAGCAGCGCAGAAAGCCGAAGGATCACTACGGAGGAGGGCGGGTCTCGGTGCGCGCAAAGCCCATCGCACGCTGGTACCGCTCAATGTCGGCCTGCGTGAGCGCATCCGTACCCTCCCACTGCGCAGACGACGTGCGCACGCGGAGACGGGCAGCCGACTCGGCGTTGCGGAACATGTCTGCGCGAGCGAGAAGGTCAGAAAGCGAGTCCGCCTTGCAAGCGGAACGACGGCCACGCACCTCGGATGGACAGCTTGGGGATCGGGCCAAAGATCTCGTCCGGGTTGATCGTCTGCTGGAGCTCGAGCGCGCGGGCGAGGTTGGGCGACTGCGCCCACCGCGGCAGGGCCGCCTTCTTCGCCTCCTGCGCGTCCTCGTCCTCCGAGTCCGAGTACTCCGAGTCGACGTCGGGCAGCTCGATGAACGGCTCGGGCTCGGGCTTGGCCTGCGGAGTCGGCTGCTGCGACCTCGCGCCGTTCTGCGCGGATGAACCGAAGGGCTTGGTCGGATTGGCGGGACGAGCGGCAGACGCCGATGCGCTGCCAGTCAAATTGATCTTGTTGGACATGAAGCTGTGGCCGATCATCGCGCTCGCGCCGGCCGACTTGTTCAGCGCAGCCGAAGGCCCGTCCGACTTGTTGAGCATGCTCGAGAGACCGGCCGACTTGTTGAGTGCCGCCGCGGGCGGGCCCATCGCTCCCGTGCGCGTCGACGACGAGAGCTGCTGGCTGGAGGCGGACGGAGTGATAGCGCGACCGGGCTGGTGCGCCTTCTTCGGGTCGAGGCGAGACTTGGCTTCGGGCTCGATCTTGCGCTTCTTCGACGGCTCGTCGTCGCCGGCCTGCGTCGACGTCCGCGTCAGCTACACATGAACCGAAGAGGCAGCACTACGCACCTTGGGTTTGACGCCGCGAATCGGGTTCGCCTTGGCTTTACTCGCCTGCTCCTCGCGCTCCTTGCGCTTCTTCTCGAAGCCCTCGGCCTTGACCTTCCGCTCCTCCTCCTGCTTCTTCTGGAGCATGCTGCGCTTGTCGCTGGCGGCAGCGGCCTTGCGGTCGCGCTCCTCCTTTTCCTATAGTCAGGTATGTCAGCGGGTCTGAGCGAGTGAAGCGGGAGGAGAAGCGAGACGCACCTTCTTCGCAGCAGCAGTCGTGCGCTGGACAGCCTTGACGTCCGGCTTAGCCTTCTTGATGGCAGAAGCAGGCGCAGCACTCGTCGAGCGGTTGAGGCCGAACGTCGTGCTGGTCGAGGCAGTCGAAGCGATGCTGGCCTTTGAAGCGGGCCGGGAGGCCTGAGGTGCCTTGTGCGCAGTGACGGGCTTGAAGGGGTGGTGGTTCTGCGAGAAGTTGAGCGTGCTCGAGGCTGTGACGCTCGACATCATCGACATGGTCGTCCGGTCCTCTTCGTCGTCCACCGCTTCGTCGTCCTCTGCATCGCTCGCTTCGGCGCTCGAGCCGTTCTCATGCGAGCTCGATCCGTTGCCGAAGCCGCCGGGCATGACAACGCGGCTTGGGCTGGCCTTCGAAGTGAGATCCTCCCTGACAGCCTTGGTCAGAACCGCCGTGTTCCGACCCTCGCCGTCTTCCGAGCCCGACTCGTCCTCGTCGTCCTCCTGCTGCTTCGGCTCGGGAAGCGACGGAAGCCTCTTCTTGAGCAACTCCTCCCGCTCACGCTGCGCCTCCTGTTCCTCGAGGTCGCGTGCAGCCTGCTCAGCAGCGCGCTTGGCCTCCGCCTCGCGCACTTGCCACGCCTCCTCCGCCGCTGCCTTCGCCTTCGCACTAGCCTGCGCTTCGACCACGGCAGAAGCGGGAGTCGAGGCGTTGATCGCGCGGATGGTAGGGCGGTCATCCTCCTCCTCTTCTTCCTCGTCTTCGAGCTCGTCGTCCATCTCCAGCGAGCGCGCATCTTCGGCCTTCTTGAGCATGTCGGCGAGACCCATGCCCGGCGGAGAAGCGACGGGCGTCGTCGAGCGAACGACTGCGGTCGGAGGGGTGTTGGCGACGCGGACGGGCGAGCGTGCCGGGCTCTTGGGCTCGACGACTGGTACCTTGACCGCTTGACGCGGAGGCGAGAGGATAGACGAGATCGAAGCGGAGACAAAGGCGGACGGCGAGCGGGTGATGCCGCCCAGACGAGGAGACGCCGGGTGTGCCGCTGGCGGCATGAAGTGTGCAGAACGAGGGCTGCCGAACGTAGCGACGGGGAGACCCGACGGCGCCGCGCGAGATGCAGGTCGTGGAGATGCGGGCGGAGAGGCGAAGCGTCCCGACGAGAACGCAGGGGGAGGCGAGTTCGGGCGAGGCGAGTGGTGGGCGGTGGAGCTGAAGGCGGCGGGGATCTTCGATGGGGAGGGAGGGTGGACGTGTTCTGTGCCGGTCGTGTTCGACTCGAAAGACTTGACGCGCTCCATAACGGACGGCCGACGAGCGGCAGGACCGTTGAGCTCGGCAGCGATGTTGACCGACGACGACGACGGCAGGATCGGCGCGTTGGCCAAGAGCGGCTTGGCGACGGGAGCAGTCGATGTCGAGTGGAAGAGCGCAGTCGTCGTCGAGATCGGCTTCGTCGAGCCAAACATGTTCGAGACGCCGCCGAACGGTCCAGCAACGTTGCTTGTCCGCCCGCCGAGGTTGCTCTGACGAGCCTGCATGCTCTGAATGCGGTTCGCGAGCGCTTCCCTGCGCTTGCGTGCTTCATCCTGGTCGATGTCCCCTGCGGGGACCTGCGAGAGCTTCGGCGCCTTGTGGGCGGCGTCTGCGCCGTCGACAGACTTGCGCTTGACAGCACCTGTTGCCGTTGTAGAGCCTGACTGCGCCGGTTCAGCGGCTGTGGAAGGTGCCGACGATGTCTGCGAAGCGGTGGAGCCTTGACTGTCGGGCCCCGAGGCGAGCCAGTTGCGACCGATGCCGAGCCCATGCCCGAGACTCTTCTTGGGGAGACCGACAAAGTTGAGCTGGCGGGGAGCGGCGCCGCCGGTGCTGATGCGCGAGGAGGCAATGGCGGGACCGACGGTTGCTGATGCGGTCGGAGGCGGGCTTGAGCCGAGGCCGATGCTGCCGAGCTTCGCGGCCGAATAGGTACCGAGAGTGAAGCGCGAAGTCGAGCTGCCGCCGGGCGTACGCAGGGTGGACGAGGAGAGGGAGGAGGAGAGGGCCTCCGAGCGGAGAGTCGAGGGTGCGTCGTTGAGCGGGACCGACATCTCCTCGGTGTCGGCTTCCGGCGCAACGGACGACGCACCAGAGACGCTGCGCGGTTGCGGCGACATGGCGCGAGCAGGTTCGGCAGGCTTTGGCGACGCGGGATGAGGCTGGCTGAACTGGGTCTCCGGGATGATCGAAGGTGCGCCGACGAGAGATGGCGGCTGAGTGGAAGGCGCGGTGACGACGGAGCCAGTCGACGTGTCCTCGTCTTCCTCCTCTTCGCCAATGATCGAGAGGTTGGCCCTCTCCTCCTCGTCGAGCTTGGCGGCGGCAGGAAGGGCAGCCTCCTCCTTCTTCGTCAAAACGTTGCTGACCTCCCTCGCCTCCTCCTCGTCGTCGTCTTCCTCTTCGTCCTCCTCCATGACGTTCGAGAGTTCGTGGACCGGCAGCTCGAAAGGCTCCGGCTCCTCGAGGTCGAGCGGGGGAGCAAAGTCAAGCGCTTTGACATCGGCAGCCGGCGTAGACTCGACAGGAGCTGGCGAATTGCGTGCAGATTGGTTGTTAGTGCCGAACGTCCTCGGCGAAGGCGCGCGGAGAGGCGAAACCGTCTTGGCCTTGTTGAGCGACGAATTCTGACCGAGCGGTGACAGCAACCTGCGCGAGCTTGACTGGCCCGACGATGCTGCAGGACTGTTCTCCTTGCCGATCGCGGGAGATCGCTTCGGTGAGGCTGGCGCGGGGAAGAGAAGGGTTGCGACGGGGTCCTTCTTCGAAGAGGCGAGGGCGCGGTGGGCGGAGGTGGCGGTCGCAACACGCTTACGTCCAGGCGTCTTCATAAGCTCCGACATGGCGAGTCTGCGGGTCCAGGTTGTCCATCTGAGGTCAGCAAGCGCCGACGGACCCTCCGAGCGACTCGAGGGGACGCACCGAGATCCGCCCGCCTTCTGCTGCCCCTTGGGCGCGAGCTTCTCGAAGAAGCTATCCATCCACCTGTGTGCATCCGCATAGTCGTCGATTTGAGCCTGCAGCGAGTCGTGCGCAAGAGAGGCGAGCGACGAGAGCACCGCCGTTGTTGGGTGAACCTGCATGGCGGCCGCAGCTGTCGCTGAGGAGGCGGGCGGGTCGGCTGAGGCTTCGCAGCGGGTGCTAGCACTCCTAAAAATGCTCAGAAGCTTGCAAAGCGGCGAACGAGTGGAAAGAGCGAAGTGGTCGAGGAGACAGGCAAACAGCTCGAGTGGACGAGGACGATGTCGACCTGCCGTAGCGCTCGTGGGGCAAATGGAGGACGTGACTGTGCTCTCAAGAGCTGTCCGTAAGCTCTACAAGTCACTACGAGGGCAATCCGCTCCCTTGTCCGTCACAAGGCGACGGGGGAAGCGGTACCTGTGCTGAATACTGCCTACTTTGCATGTCCGAGACAATAACCTTACACCAAGCACAGAGGGGCGAACCTCCTGCCGCCCCGCCGCTCGCTCAGCGTCAACCTCGCCCTCTTGACCTCCCTTTCCGCATCGTCGTCCCCCCGCCTTCGCTCTTGCCGCTCGCCCGCGTCATCCGAGATACCCGCCAGTCGTCGCTGCTGATCCTGCGCCCACATTGCCGTTCGCGAGAGAGTCGATGGGACGGGAGATTGGTGTGGGAGAGTGAAAGCTGGTCGTCGTTGCTCGAGCTGGTTGTTCGATACGGCTAGTGGCCGCTTCCGCGCATGAGAGTGAAAGAGGGGGACTGGAGCTTGCGGAGGTGCGAGGGAGAGACGATGAAGGGACGGAAGCGGAATGCAGCGAGCTGGAGGTGCGCGAGGGAAGGGCGAGGGATAGGATGCGGGCGGAGGGAGGAAGGCCAGGCCAGACGTGACCTGTCGAGCAGCAGATTAGCGCAGGATCGATGAGGGAGAGACGAGATGGATGCACCTTATCGAGCGTGGAAGATGGAGGAGGTGTCGCCGCAGGAACGATGACCGTCACTCGCTTGGATACCTTGCGCCCATCCTCCTCGTGCTCCACCATGTACGAGTACCGCTGCATGCCGCTCTGTTCCCCTACGTCCCCCTCCTCGGCCTTGACGCCTGTGCTAGGCGATTGCAACGCCTGAGCCAGATGCTCGAGACGAACTCGTTCTGCGGCTGCTCGAGCCTTCGCGACGTGCTGCTCCTTCAGGTCGGCGGGATCGCGGCGTGTCGGCAGACGTCGACTGGACCTCGGTGGCGAAGGAGATGGCGTAGGGAGAGATGGCTCGATGTCTGCAGGCGAAATGGTTAGAGCCACGCTGGGTACCGACAAGCGGGATGGACGTACCCTCGGACTTGACGTGAGTGCGAAGCATGATACAGGAAAGAAAGTCACGGGAGCCGAAGATCTAGCACGGTGGCGAGGTGGGCAGCGCGTGCGTAGGTCAATTGGCCTTGATGAGGAGGTGAAGGCGAAGGGAAGTGGCGTTCGCAAGCGGCGCGAAGCAGCACGACAACCCAGCAGGCTCAGCAGAACAAGCAACGGGAGCCTCTGCACGCAACAAAAGACGGCATGGGTCTTGTTCTGCAGCGGCGCAAGGAAGAAAGGCGGAGGATAAGGGCAGCGAACAATGCGGGAGTGTGACGGCGGCCGAGCGCTTGCATTTAGCGTCTCGAGCGTTTGCAATGGGCTCGTCGCCTTGTCCGTGCCAGGTTCGGGAAGGTGCGCGAGCCGAATGAAAGAACCCGCTACGAACAAGGGGCACAAAGGGACGAGGGCGAGGGCGGGTGACGGCGGCGCGAGAGTCCGCCCGCTTGTTCGCCAGCCTTGTGCGAGAGTGTGCGGTCGAGTGCACTGCACTAGAGTCAGCCTGGCCGTGTGAGCGTGAATGGGAGGAAGCCAACCGCACGAGGAGAGGGTTGGCTCAGCGACGACGAGCGATGGCAGCGCTGGTGAACCGCCACGAGAGCGCGGTCGTCTCTGGCGACAAAGTCAGCATCGTGCGTGCTTACACTGTCCCCGTCCAGCTCGTTCAGAGGCAAACGAGCTGACACCGCCTCGCTGTGGACCATGCTTCCCTCGACGGCGACAACAGCTGCCAGGCGCGACGGAAGGGTACACGCAGGCGACATTCTGCATCTTGGAGGAGGACCACACGCTCGGGAACCTGCTGCGATGGATGCTCATGAAGAAGTGAGTCCTCGTCCTTCCCCTCTATCCTCCCAGCTGATGAAGCCGACTCTCGCCCTCGCAACAGCCCGTCGGTCGAGTTCTGCGGTTACAGGTGCGTACTAGGTGATCTGTCGAGAGGATGCGCGCGCCAGACCTGACCTCGCGTCGTTCTGCAGCGCTCCTCACCCCTCAGAGGCCAAGATCCACCTTCGAATCCAGATGTATGGTTCGTACAGGGCCCCTTTCTTTCCCTGCTCGCCGCGCACTGACGGATGGGATCGCAGACGGCAAGTCGGCGCTCGAGGCGTTCAACGAGGCGCTTGACAACATCGAACAGATGGCCGAGACGATCCTCGACAAGTACAAGGCCTCGCTCGAGGAGGGCGACTTCGAGCGCGTCGAGGACGAGAAGCACGACTTTGAGTCGGTCAATCAGCGGTTGTGGGCGCAGAAGGAGGCCGAGGGGCGAGGGACATACGAGGAGTTTCTCGCGGAGAAGAAGCGGAAAGAGGACGAGGAGGCCAAGCAGAAGAAGGGCGGCAAGGCGGTTAAGGGCGGCCGATAGACTGGTCTCCCTCTGTACCTCGAGGAGGCTCGGGCGGACACGGCGCCTCCCTCACTCGCATCCACTCCCGTGCTTGTACTGTATTTCTACCTCGCATTTTCCGCTTCCTCTCTGGGCCTCCCCTGTGCTTCGAATCGTACTGTCCGCTCTGTCAGAGCGTTCTCCAGGTCGATAGAGTCCGTCCAGCGAAACTTCAGAACTGGCTTCTCCTCCTCACCCCGTACCCGACGCGTCTGTTGCACTCCTCCCTCACTACAATTCCGCTTTCCTGCTCGCGCAATGCCGCGCGCAAAAGCCAAGAAGCCGGCTCAGTCTGACCCGGCGGACGAAGACGGCGGTCTCGAGGCGTTCGAGTTGCAGAAGAGTGTCGGCAAGTGGTGCTCTCTCGCGTCTCGCAGCGCGTGTCGGGGCTGGCGGGCGTGTAGACGGTGCTTACTGACGCTCTTTGTGCGCACACAGTCGCCCGTCTGGCCAAGGGAGCCGTGAGTCTCGACTTCTACCCCATCCCCCTCCGCGACCGTTTGAGGTGCAGAAGGCGCGGCGGTTGAGCTCAGCTGACCTTTTCGCGCCGTGGACAGCTCCCAGCAGACATCAAATTGCAGAAAGAAGTGCCGCTCGCTCTGGTCAAGGGTTCCACCGTCTTCATCAACTACCTCGCAGCGCTGTCCGTCGCTTTCCTTCCCTTGCCCAGCTTTCCGGACCTCTGACGCCGTAGCACGACGTTACAGGAGCCACGATGTCGCCACGGAGCGCAACAATAAGACGATCTCGGCGCAGCACGTGTTGGACGCGGTCAAGCAGCTGGGATGGAACGACGGAGGGGAGCTGCACAAGACGCTGAAGAAGGAGCTGGCGGGTGCGTCGCGTTGTCTGAACCTCTTTGTGACCGGAGCTGACCTCCTTGCGATTCGCAGCCTTCCGAGCGGCGGCCGACGCAAAGAAGCGCGGCGAACCTGCGCCTGCTCCTCCGCCCAAAACCGTCCTCAAGGTCAAGGAGCCTGAGGCTGCACCAGCCGCGTCAACCTCCGAGACGAACGGAGCTGCGCCGGCTGCGGCGGTTGGGGTAGAGGCGGCACCTACGGCGGGAGAAGCTGGAGTCGAGGCGGGAGTGACGGTCTTGCGGGACGACCGCCCGAATGCAGACGAGGAGAACCTGTACGAAGGCGCAGAAGAGGTTGACGAAGACGCCCTGGAAGAATACGTTGACGAGGAGGAAGACGAGGAGATGGAGCAGGCGGGCAGCTCCGGCGTCGAAGATGAGGTTGCGGATCGAGGGCTCGAGGCGGACGAGGGCGACGAGGCTTGGAAGGGTGATGAGTAGATTACGTCTCTGCATTTCGACTCCGCTTGTTGTGTCGCCCTCGTAGCTGGCTCGCGTCAAGGAGAGGAGAGGCTTGGGGAAGGATTTACAGGGAACGAACGAAAGGGTATGCTGCGATGCTGCGGGGTATACCGATGTGGAATTTGGGTAGCTTCAGAACATCTTGAGCTTGTGATACTTGGGCAGCGTGTCACGCAGATACTCCCAATGCTTGACGAAGAGCGCCTTGCTCTGTCCTGTTCCTTCGCCGCTTGCTTTTCGCCGTCGATTTTCCGAGCCGAAGACGTGTGTAAAGTCGTCGAGTCGATCGAGAGGGGGTTGTGAAGTGGCGGAGGAAGGAGCGGGGAGGGATGAAGGATCGGTCTGTGATGGTTCTTCAGACGGCGGAGCCATGAGCTCGTCTGAAGACGGAGCTGCCAACTCGTCCTCTTTTACGCCTGTTCGCGGGTTTTCGGGCGGAAATGGGGAGGCCTGGACGACGCAGCCTGCGCCGACAACGCAGTTCGAGCCGACTTCGACCATGGGCGTGACGCGGCAACGGACGCCGAACGTGTTGTGCGAGCCGATAGATGGCGACTCAATGCCTGCTCATTTCGGAGGTCAGGTTCTCGACGCCCAGCAGGCGAGAAGTTGCGATACGCACGACAGCCCGTCTCGAAGAGGTTGTTGTCGCCGATGACCATCGGCTGCTTCAGCCGGTTCACGATCACTACGTTCTCCTCGACGATATTGTTCGACCCGAAAACGATCGGACCGGCCATGGCGAGAATGGTGCAGCGAGGCTGGAGAATCGTTCCTGCGAGGAGGGTGAGATCCGGTATCAACCGCTCGTTCCGCCTGAGAGTCCGCCTCAGCCTCGATATGAGCATACTCGACGCACCTGAACCTAGTGTGATGTCTCCTCGCAGGTCACAGTCCGCCACGACGACCGTCTTCGTCCCGACCTTGAACGAGTCTACTCTGCAGCCAGGGCGAGTTCAGTGTTCGTTAAAGCGTGTAGCCAGGTAGACTAGGTTCCACGGACATGTCAGGAGCCATCTCAATAAGCCAGGAGAGCGGATGAGCGAGTTGGTCGTCGACGAACACTCCGACGGACGCGAACAAACGGCTTGACCTCGTCGGCCACTTCTGCTCGAGTTGGAAAGGCTACGACGCGCACAGCAGGACTGTTCTACGCGACTACAGCACAGCTAGCACGACCAGGACCCAGCCAGACGCCTCGACGCCCTCACCCGACCCCGCTCTTTCATCGCGAACCGTTTCTCTACCCGCACATAGCCCGCTTAGCCCAGCATGGACCGCAAGTTCGAGGTCGGTGGAGACTACAAGATGTGCGTGCGGCATTAATCTGGCCATTCGGGGCGGGAGACACCCTGGACGGCATAGATTCGCTTGCTGCGGGGGTGCTTGCGCAGACGGTGGGCAGAGACTGACTGTCGGCTCGTGTGGTCCTCAACAGCATGGATGTGGTCGGAGAAGGCGCGTACGGAGTGGTCTGGTGCGTTCGCTGGACCCCTCGCTCTTCTCGACAACTCCGCTCATTCTTCTCGAACAGCTCTGCCGTGCATCTTCCCACGCAGAGTAAGGTTGCGATCAAGAAGATCAGTCCGTTCGACCACTCGAGTGCGTTGCGAATCGTGCAGTCCTCTTCCCGCTGTAGTTGACGCGGGTTTCCCTCCTTCCCTCCTTGCTTGCACCTTCGCGCAGTGTTCTGCCTGCGAACGCTGCGCGAGATCAAGCTTCTGCGGTGGTTCAATCACGAGAACATCATCTCCATCCTCGACATCATCAAGCCCGCGTCGCTCGAGGGTTTCAGCGAAGTCTACCTCATTCAGGTGCATCTCGCCGTCGACCGCCTTCTGCGGGCGTTTGCTGACTCGGCATCGCCCTTCCTACAGGAGCTCATGGAGACGGATTTGCACCGCGTCATTCGTAGTCAGGAACTCTCGGACGACCAGTACGTCCTCCTCGACCTTCCAGCGGAATGCAACGCGAGACTGACCAGATTTCCGGCTTTGCAGCTGCCAATACTTCCTCTAGTGCGCTCATCACTGCTGCCGCGTGTTTGTCTGACCTGGGGACTGACTCACTCGTCTTGCACAGCCAAACGCTGCGAGGGCTGAAGGCGTTGCACTCGGCCGCGTAAGTTCCGCCTGCTCAGTCTACCCGCTCTACGGTCGTAGCTTACTCTCACTTTGCGCACAGTGTGCTGCATCGCGACCTCAAGCCTTCGAACCTGCTTCTCAACGCGAATTGCGATCTCAAGATCTGCGACTTCGGGTGCGTCCCGCTTCTCAGTTCCTGCAGCTGGTAATCGCTCATCGAGGTCGACTCTTGGCAGCCTTGCTCGGTCGGCGATGTCAACCGAGACGGAAGCGGTTGGCTTCATGACTGAGTGCGCAAATACCCATCCTTTCTCAGTCAGTCGTCGCTCACACTGCCCGCTCTGGACAGATACGTCGCAACACGGTGGTACCGCGCGCCAGAGATCATGCTCACGTCCGTAGTGTCGCCCCTACTGCGCGCGAAGGAAGGGCCAAGCTGACGCGACTTGGTTTGCAGGTTCAAGGAGTACACCTTCGCTATCGATGTCTGTGCGTTGGCCTGCTTCCGATGTCCCCGAAGTTGTGCACTGATCTCTGGCGCCTCGCAGGGTCGGTCGGGTGCATCCTCGCCGAGATGCTAAACGGCAAACCCCTTTTCCCTGGCCGCGACTGTGCGTTGCGACTTCGCTACATCCGCCTCGGCACTCGGCTGACTTGCCTTCCCCCATAGACCACCACCAGCTCACCCTGATCCTCGGCGTCCTCGGCACACCTTCGCTCGAAGACTTTTACGCCATCGGTTCGCAGCGCAGCCGCGACTACCTCCGCGCCCTGCCTTTCCAGAAGAAGAAGCCGCTGCAGTCGCTCTACCCGAACGCCAACCCTCTCGCGATCGACCTGCTCGACCGCTGCCTGGCGTTCAACCCGAAGAAGCGGATCAGTGTCGTCGACGCTTTGAGCCACCGTGCGTCCCGTCCGACCTCCAGTCAGAGGGCCGCGGCTCATACGTCCTTTTGCGCAGCGTACCTCGAACCCTATCACGACCCTCACGACGAGCCGACTGCGCCTGTTCTCCCTCCCGCCTTCTTCGCCTTTGACCAGCAGCAACTCAGTCGCGAGCAGCTCAAGAGTCAGTTTCGCGGGTACCTTTCGGTCGTGCTGAGCGCTGAGTTTCTCGCTTTCGCAGCCCTCATCTACGAGGAGATCACGACGCCTCCGCCCCAGCACTAGATGGCCAACTCCCTCGCAGACACTTCCGTCCTCTTCTCCTCACATCGCATATTGTCACGCCTTGACGCAAACATCCAAGACACCTCTCGCTCTGGATACCCCTTTGCTCGCATTGCCTTCCCTCGCCCTCTCTTGACGAACTTCGCAGGTCCGGTTGCTCTCGTCTGTAGACTCTCTCATCCAGTGTATGACTCAGCAGGGCTGTTTCGCACACTCGCACGTAGCAGTAGAGAGACTTCGACGGTGGTACCGCGGGATGCTTGCAACCAGCCTTTTCACCTCGCCGGCTTCTTCCCCATCGCCCTCAATCCTCGCTGGCTGATCTTGACCCACTCGCTTCCTTCGGTCTCCCCCTTGCCCGTCACGACCCACCCGTCTTTCTGAGCCGCGAGCATGTACGCCGTGAGCTTGCCGTACCTGCCCTTGAGCTCCGACTTTTGCAGCTCGTTCCTGACCGCGGAGCAGAGTGGCGCAGGCGGGACGACGCCGGCTGGCGACGGCGCTTGGAGCGCGATCAGGATGCGGAGGAGGGGCTCGTACTGCGCCGGAACAGGCGGAGCGCGAGGAAGGGCGACTTTGGGAGGTTTCGCAGCGGGCGGCGGAGTAGTCGCTGGTTCAGGTGTGGCTTCGGGAGTAAGTGGAAGGAAGAGCGGCTAGGAGACGATAGTCAGCCGGGCTCTGCGACGCCATGAGACGGGCCAGCGTACCTGCTGCACCTCTTCGCGCTGAGGAGCAGCTGGTGCGGTAGCCGGACGCGGAGGAACGCTTGCAGCGGTTGGAGAAGGGGTCCGAGGAGCTTCCTGTACAGGTTGAGGCGGTGATTGTGGAGAGCCAGTAGCTGGCCTTGCGGCGGGAGTTGCGGCACGAGGAGTAAGCCCTTCTTCGGGCAAGGCGGTCTCGAAAGACGGCCTGGCAAGTCGCCCTGCGGCTAGTGCGACGGTCACTCGTGTTGTGGGGGATGGGTGCGACAGGAAGTAACGCACCGCTAACGGGAATGGCCAATCCTGGCGGAGGTCCAGCAGCCATCGTTTCTGCCTCGAGTCCCTCGCCTTCCTCGACATCGCTGGGCGGGTCAGTGATGTCTTTGACGACAGGTAGGACGTCGGTGAAGTCGCCAAGCTTGACGCGCCTCGTGACGAGTCGAGCAACAGACTTTGCGAGTGGATGAGCCGTTTCGACGAGAGCGAGGCGCGATGGATCGACCGCTCCCGCCGCGATCAGCCTGCCGAGCCAGTGAGCGTGCATGTCGGTGTACCACCCAACGAGGACGACGGCGTCGACGAGAGGAGCAGTGAGCCCGAGGTGACCTTCTCAGTTCGAAGCAGGATTAGCGAGTGTGGTGGTGCGGCGCGCAGCAGTGCGGTACTTGCCTGTCATGGCGCTCAAGGTGCTGCTCTGGAGGACGTTGGTGAAGGCGGACGGAATAGGCGTCGAGCTGAAGCCGCGAACGAAGTTGTGCAGGATCTCGGCGGGGATGCGAAGGGACTTGGCCAGCTGCGCGACGTCGCTGCGAGGCAGAGACGGTCAGTGCAGCCTTTTCCGAGAAAGACCGTCCTGCGCACCCGAAGACGTGAACCGAGGTCTGGCACGCCCTCCCCATCGCGCTCGACGCCCAAAGTTTCAGGCGGTGATGCAAGCTGTGCGCCGCAAGACTGCCTCCCTGTGCACCACGGATCAGGCTGTCGCGCTCAGGCTGCTCAGGAAGCTGGTCAGCCGCGTCCCTGTCGCGTCGAAACGATGGAAGCGAACTCACGAGGGTGTGGTCGCCGTCGAGCAGAAGCAGGACGCGCCCGGGCGCCCTCCCAGGTTGAGGCGGCGTAGCAGTCATCCCAGCAGTGTACACGCAGCCCCGTCAGCGAGTTCAGCGAGACGCAAGTGAGGGGAAGGAGGTGAAGAAGTGGGGTCGGAGAGGAGATCGACCTTGGGACAGGGGCCGCGACGAGGAAGCGAAAGAAATGGTTCGAGAGAGTGTTGCAGGATGTCTACTCGCCATCCCAGTTCGCCTCGCTTCGATACAGCCGTAGTCGGACGCGGTCGAGCACAATCTCGTACCCGTCTCCCTCAACTCCGCCGACATTCCCTCGTCCTTCCGCAGGACGCCATGCTGCTGACGGATCCCACCGTCGCCATCCCCACGATGACTTGATCTGCGAGAAGAAGGCGAGTGAGCGCAGGTCAGAGATGGAAGAACTGAAAGGGGTGCGAACCTCAGGCTTCTTGTGAGGTGCCGTGATGACAAGCCATCGCGCTCGCTTCCCTAGCTCCGCCAGTAAGGCCCACAGCTCGGAGGGCGACTCGACAAGGTGCAGCGCGAACGAGATCACGACAATGTCGTACAGCTCAACCTCATCGTCACCTTCTTCAGGCGGTTTGGTCGAACCTGGGGCGGGCAGCTTGCCAGCTGCGACGTCGGAGAAGGAAATCTCGAGGCAAGGGAGGCCGATGCGTGCACGGTATGCGGGCGATGTGAAGGGGTCGGAGGCAACAATGGAAAGTTCTGGCTCGGAGAGGGCGGGTGTTGCCGGCGAGCGCTTTGGCCGGACGGCGGGTCGTGCGGAGGGGCCTCGAGAGGGCGGGCTGAAGGGCTGCCGGATCGGCAGTGCGAGAGGGCGGGAGGGTTGCGAGGTTGCGGGCGGGGGGATTAGCGTTGGTGCGCCTCCTTCAGGTAATCGCGCTGACTGTACTCCCGCAACAGTCTTTCCGTCCGCCTTTGGCCATCGAGAAGCTTTCCACGCGAGTATGGCCTGCAGAAGCGGATTCTCAGCGTCGAACAGCCGGAAAATGGAGGGGACAAGCGACCCACCTCGGTTGCTTCGCCCGATCCCGCAGCAAGATCCAGCACCTTGATGCCCTTTGGCTTCTCCTGTGCAACATATCGGTCCAGAAACTGGGCGAGCACCTTCTTCAGGCCAGGAAAGTGAGGATTTCGATCTGCAGAAGAAGACGAGAATTAGCCGCGTGCGCCCTCAGACAGAGTACTCTGAACGCACACGACTCCTGGACGATCTTGTAGTACTCTGCGACGCCGTGCGTACCGTAATTCTCCCGCATCGAATGCGAGAGGTTGCCGTTCGCCATGGCCGGGGCGTACCGAGTACTGGCGGTTCTGCGCCGCTCCAACTGTGATTAGGGGGGCTCTGAAGGAGATTCGTCCGCCCTCAGACCGCCGAAAAGCCCTGCGAACGCACCTCGACTTTCGACTGATGAAGATCCGGGATGCGCGAGTCGACGGAGGAGAGAAGCCGGGCGCTGCGGGCTGGGTCTAGGGAGCTCTATATAGCCGGTTAGAGCGTAGGAGATACCGGCAGTCCGCGGCGGAGCGGGCGAGAGAAGCGTCGACCCAACCGACCTCCTCGCCCTTCCTTGCCCTGGTCCACACCCACGACTCCGCTTCACTACGCACTTGGCCGCGCTTTAATCCGCTCAATGGCTCCAGCGCACCCTCCTGGCTGCCAGTGCGGAGACGCAGATGCCCACGTTCTGCTCGAGGGCGAGCTGAACTTCCTCTACAAGCATGTCGACCGGGACAAGGTCGTCGCGCTGAACGCTGAGGATGGCAAGGAAGGCAAGATGGTCATCAAGCCGTGGGATCAGCGGACGCAGGAGGAGGAGTGGCTCGAGTCGGACGCGGACGAGCAGTTGATCCTTCGCGTCCCTTTCACCGGGAACATCAAGCGTGTGTGCCCGTCCTTTCGCTCCTCTCCGTCGTTACTTGACATTTGCAGACAGTGCGTTCCATCCTCATCAAGGCAGGTCCGGCAGGATACACGCCGGACAAGATGCAAGTGGTGCGCGACGTTTTCCCTTCTCTTCGCTTTCTCGCTTGACTGACCGTGTCTTTGCAGTTCGCGAACCAGCTCCTGGACTTCGACGAGGCGAGCTCGCTTGAGCCGACGCAGACCTTTGACGTTCCCATCACTCGCGACATCGTCGAGTTCGCTGTTCGGCGAGTCCTGCGCTACGTCTTCTCGCTTTACTCCTTACTGACGTCTTTGCCGATACAGGCCAGCCAAGTTCCCGTCTGTCCGCTCTCTCACCCTGTTCTTTCCGTCAAACCACGGTGAAGATACGACTCGCGTCTTCTTCGTCGGCTTCAAGGGCGAATGCTCGGCTTTCACGGTGCGTAATCCGCAGGCCGTGACTCCTCGCATGTTGCTGACGCCGAAGCCTGTAGCGCGACCCCATCATCACGGTCTACGAGGCGCAGGCGAACCCCGCCGATCACGCCAAGATCCCTGGTCTCGACACCACCGCCCACTCTCGCATCGGTTGAGCCTGTACCATCTCTCTCGGTTCCTGTACATCTTGTCTCAATACGTAGTTGCATCGCAATCTGAAGACCGAAAGAAGTTCTACAAGCACGAAAGGAAGCAAACAGAGCCGGATGCGAAGGGGAAAAGAGGGGAAGACTACGCCTTGATGTACCCGTTCTTGATGGCGACGAGGCGCGCGGCGGCGTGGTCGTTGGTCCAGTACGAGCCGTTCGGGTAGACGTACGCCGCCTTGGACGCCTCGTGCATGCCGATCGAGTAGCCTTCTGTCGGGTCCGAGGGGATCTGCAGGCGCACGCAAGATCAGCTTTGAGTAGTTGAGCGGAGATGAAAGAGGAGCGCACGTTGTAGTAGCCGTGCGAGTTGATGGTTGGTGGGTTGGTGAAGTGCTCGTGCAAGTGGTCGACGTATCTGCGACAAGGATCTATCAGCGAGTGTCACGCAGAGCGTACGAGGGAGACGGGACGCACTCAAGGACATTCCGCTCCTTCGTGCCCGAGACGCAGAGGTAGTCGATGATGGAGACTGTCGACAGCGAGCGAGTCAGCCCAACGCCCCTGCCTTCATACAGTTCGATCAGCTCACGGTGGACGACGTAGTTCGTTAGTCCGACACCTCCAGCATGCGGGCAGACAGGCACGCCCTTCTTCGCCGCCATGAGCAGGACGCCGAGGATCTCGTTGACGCCGGCGAGACGGCACGAGTCGATTTGGCAGACGTCGATCGCTTCCGCGGCGAGGAGCTGCTTGAAGACCATGCGGTTGTGCGCATGCTCGCCCGTTGCTGCGAGATGGAGAAGAGAGTCAGGTTTGCGATACTCTGCGAGGATCCTCAACGAGAACGCACCGACGCCGATCTTGTACGGCTTGAGCTGCTTGCGGATCTCGGCATGTCCGAGGATGTCATCCTGTCCGACGAAAGCGAACGGTCAGCGTGAAGAGTCTCATGGACGGAGGCGACGGGGACGAACAGGTGCTGTAGGCTCCTCGATGAACCAAGGGTTCGCGTCCTTGAGCGCCTTGACGTAGTCGATCGCCTCTCGGACACTGCACGACCATTTGACTGTCAGCGCAAGCTCGAGCGAATCTTCCGACGGGATCGGACGCACTCCCAAACCTGGTTCGAGTCGATCATCAGAACCGAGCCTGTAGGTCCTGCGTTCTTTCCGACAAGGCTCTCGGCGGAAGGGACGGGTCGACCCTCGCACTCCTTCGGGTCGTCAATGATGGAGCGGATGAGGGCGAGCCGTCGCTGGTCCATTGCGACGTCGGCGCCGACCTTCATCTGCAGCGGGAGGAGTGGGGGACTTCAGTCATCAGCGAGGGAGGAGGGCAACTGCGCGCGCACCTTGAAGTGGTTGAAGCCCTGTGCGATGGCCTCGCGAGTGAGGCGAGCGACCTTCTCATCCGGGTATCCGAACCTGGCGCGGCGAGCCTCCGTCAATTCACCACTCGAGCCCGTAAGTTTGATGTAGCCATGCGCAGTCGACGCACCATCCGACAGAAGTGGTGTAGGCGGGGTATCCCTCAGCCTTGAGCTTCGCGAGCCTCTCTGCCTTGCCGGCCTCCTTCTCCTTCAGCAACGCAAGCGCCTCTTCGGGCGTAATCATGTCGGTGATGTCTGCGCAGTGTGTCGAGTCAGCACTGCGCGTGAGGGATGGGAAGGAGGGCGACTTACAGCGGAAGGTTGTTGCGGCGACGAACTCTTCCGGCGTGAACTCGGCGACGACCTGCCAGAGGGGCTTCTTGAGGTGACGGGCGTACCTGTAGGTAGTTCAGCGTCAGCAGAAGGTGGCACCAACGGGAAAAGAAGGGACGCACATATCCCAGACGGCGTTGACGACGGCGGCAGTCGCAATGTCTGCAAGGCACGGTTCCAAATTAGTGGTCATACTCGCCATGATCTAGCACGTCTACGGCTCACGAATGACGCCCTTCTCTGGACCCTGTCAGAGGCGAAGCAAGTTAGCCTCCGTCCTCCTCGACCTGCGCGAGGAGAAAGGTGGGGTGGAACGCACGATCCACCGCAGCTGCGGGTCCGAAAGGAGGTAGTTCCACATCCTGCCGAGTCCAGGGGCGGAAAAGAGTTCGGCGGTCTTCATGTTCATGAGTTTGCCTGCGACTTGCTCGACGGCGGCGCAGACGACTGGAGGCGTAGTTGGGAGGGTCAGCGAACGCGTACTTTTGATTGGTAGGGACAGAGTGCGACACTCACTGTCATTTCCGCGTCCAATGGTGAAGGTCAAGCCGTATCTGAGCGAGAGGAAGCGGGGAGTGAGTATCGAAGCGGAGCCGGTGTGCGGGCACCCCGACTAACCCGACCTCGCCGAGGTTCGTGCGGAGAGTGCAGTACGCAGCCGAGTAGTCGCACTCGCGGTTGTTGGCGTCTGTGCCGTCGCCGGTGAGCGAAGTCGGGAAGCGGAGGTCCTCGACTGTGAAGCTGGCGATGAACGAGTCCTGGGTCATGGCGGGCGATGAGAGCAAGGAATGCGTGCGTAGAACGTGTGCTGATAGCTGTGGAGGGAGTGGAAGAGAGAGCAAGAGCGGGAGAGAGGCGGGGCGACAGAGCGAGAGAAGCGGAGCGGGCGGGCCGACGCGAGTGGTCCCATTCGACATGTTCTCCCTGGTGGGGTATCCCAGCGAGCGAGCCAAGTGCTCGTCCTACAGGGCTCCGCCGCCGTCTACGGGACGAGCAGGCAGACCCGCGACAGTCGACGGATCCAGCCGCACACGCTTCTCCTCGCGCGGTCCTCCTCCCGCACCCGCTTCTTCCGCTGCTGGTCCCGCCCGTTTCCCCCATCCGCTGTCCTGCGTCCTCCCACCACTCTCACGAGTATCGCCGTGACCTTCCCTTGACCCGCCCATCCCACGTCCCCGTCCTCTCCCTCTCCCACGTCCGCGTCCGCCCTCCCAACTCCTCTCCAACCGCTGCACAACCGCCTCCTTACTCGGTTTCTGCACCACCTCCACCCTCCCTTCCCTTACTTGCTGTTCGAACGACAAGCGAGGCCAGACTTCGAAAGAGGGAGTTTCGAGAATCGTCGAGCCGGCGAGGGCTTCGCGGAGGGTTAGGGCGGGTGTGGGACTGAGGAGGTAGACTTGCCGTGCTGGTGGGCGAGAGGGAGGGGTGAAGGTGGGTGAGGAAGAGGCGGCGGACTCGTCGGCGGCCTGCTCGTCGTCGTCGTCTTCTTCTGCGTCTTCTTCGGCAGCGGCGAGAGACGGTCGCGCATCGATAGAAGGGCGGGCGTAAAAGGCGAGCACGAGGACGAAGGAGTCGGTTTTTGGTGTTGTAGAGATAGTCGTGGGAACTGCATGGTCGATTTGCGCAGCGCCCGCCACAGGTGCTGGAGGGTCGAGAGATCCGCCAGCCTCGCCCGTCTCGTCTCCTCCTGCTCGTTCCTCTGATACGACAACACCTTCCGCCCCTGTCGCTGCCCTGGCTGGTGCGAGCCCGAACGACGCGACCCACGCCCTCTCCGCCGCAACCCACGCCTCATCCTCCGGATCAACCGCCTTCCCTTTCCCCTTCTTGTCCTTCGAAGCTAGCGCGGCGGTGAGGACGTCGTGCATGGAACTAGTCGTGGGCTGAGGGACAGTCATGACGACTGTTGGAGGTTGAGGGGGAGCGGACGGGTCGGATGAAGGGCGAGGGTGGAATGCGACTTCGACGGTCCATTCGAGGCGGTTATTTCTGGGGATTTCGTGAGTCAGCTTCGTCAAGGAAAGCGGAGAGCAGTCTGCGCACTTTGGATCCCACCGCGTGCCGTTTCGCAAGCGTTTGCTCATTCCCTTGGGCAAGAGGACAAGTTCGACGCCGTCGCTCCTCGCCTCGCGCACCATTTTGTCCTCCTTCTCGCTTCGCTCGTCAAGCCTGACCGTCTCCTCTCCTCTCATGCCGCCCACACGCCCGTGCGGGATGACCTTGTCCGCGACCAACTGCCTCCCGACATCCTCGACTGCCCTTCCGACGCCCGCGATGTAGGACTGGTCGCGCATGAGCGATCCCCATGTCATCTCGTTCGCCTGGATCGGTCGACTCCACACGGGCGGAGCGATCCCGTCGCATTGGCTGGCGAGTTTGTGTGCGGACGAGCAGGCGAGCGAGCAGGATGCGAACGAGCACCGCGGGCACTTGTAGCGTGCTGAGTGGGCGTTGCAGGACTGGCAGATGCCGAGTCGCGATGTCCCAGCCTGGTTGTCCATGCCACAGCTGATCAAAGGTGAGTTGCTGTCGTCGAGGAGAGTTGGTCGAGGGAAGCTCATCAGTTTCGGACATTGGCAGGAGTTACGCGGAGACAGTGCGAAACTGCCGCCACGTCGCTTCTGCCGTTTTGTCTTCTGGCGGACCGCTCCCGCCCGCTCGACGGCCCCACTCACCCGCTCGCCGCCTCGCGCTCCTCCCGCTCCCTCACCCTCCAGCTTACAGCCACGATGCCATCCAGTGCGCACGACCCATACAACGACTCCCACGACCCACCGCTGACCACCCTTCGTTCCCGCAGCCAAATTCGGCAAGAACCTCCCGCACGGCGTGTACGCGCCCGTCCTCACGTTCTACAAGGGCAACGACGAGGAACTCGACCTCGAGACGTACAAAAAGCATGTGCAGTTCGTCGCAAGGGGAGGAGGTGCGTCTGCGAGAGAGTCGTCTTCCGCTGCTTGCTCTTGCTGACCGTCGTGCGAGTCTCTCGTGCCGCGCCGACAGTCAACATCGTCGCTTTGGGCTCTATGGGAGAGTGTGAGTTTACCCCTGTCACTCAGCTCCGTTCCCGGCCAGCTGACCTCGTCTTCTCCCCGCCCCCAGCCGTCCAGCTCACCCACCAAGAGCGCAACCAAGTCGTCAAAGCCGCCCGCTCCGCTCTCGACGCCGACTCCTCCCTCTCCCAGGTCCCCTTGATTGCTGGCACGGGCGCAAGCTCGACAAAGGAGACGATCGAGTTGACCAAGGAGGCGGCAGAGGCTGGCGCGGACTTTGCCATGGTCATCTCGCCTGGTGCGTCCTTGCTTTTCCTCGTGATGGACGTCGCGCAGTAGCTGATGGAGCTGGCGCGGACAGGGTACTTTGCGGGCGCGATGAGCCGGAAGGCGATCAAGCAGTTCTTTGTCGACGTTGCGGAAGCCAGCCCGATCCCCGTTCGTCCTGTCTCGTCTCGCTGCGCCTCTGAGCACTGTTGACAGGCTCTTTGCAGGTTCTCGTGTACAACTGTGCGATACTCGCTCGTCGTCCGCGGGAAACAGGACTGACCCTCCTCCTTTTTCAGACCCGGGCGCCTCCGCCGGCATCGACATTGACAGTGACTTGATGGCCGAGAGTGAGTTCAGCTCGCCCCTACAAGACAGCGCCCTCAGCTAAGCCGCTCGTTGCAGTTGCCGCTGCTGCGCCCAACATCGTTGGCTGCAAACTCACCTGCGGCAGCGTCGGAAAGTGCGTCCTTCGCGCATCTCTCCACTTCTCTGTTCCTCGTATTGATGAGCTTTGCGCGCCACAGGCTCACCCGGCTCACGACCCTGCGCGACGACTTTGCGGTGCTCGGCGGCTTCATCGACTTCCTCGGCCCTTCGCTCCTCGCCAAGGCTGCTGGCGGCATCACGGGCGTCGGCAACGTTGCACCTGTGCGTTCGAGTGACCTACATTGAGCTATTCTCGCGTACTGACGCCCTCGGTGCTCACAGAAAACCTGCGCCAAGCTGTACAAGGACACGCTCGCCGCGCTTTCAGGCCAGGCATCCGTCTCCTCCGCCCAAGACCTGCAGTTTATCGTCTCGCGCGCCGACTGGGCGCTGGCCAAGACGGGTATCGCAGGCGCCAAGTGGGTGCTCGACCAGCTCGAGGGGTACGGGGGCAAGCCGCGCAGGCCGTTGCTGCCTTTCGACGAGTCGGACGGCAAGGGCAAGCAGTTGCTCGACGACTTGAAGGAGATCCTCGAGGTCGAGAAGAGCCTGTGAGCGGTCGAGTTGCAACGCGGCACTTTGTCGTGGGTTGGGAAGGTCGTCGTTCTCGTTGGTGTCGCCGCCGTTCTCGCTCGCCTGGCTCGTTCGCTCCATCGCTCGCTCGTTGTGCTCGCGTGTACAGTGCGCGTGTACAGTCGCCCGCGCTGCCCGAATGGAACATTGTGCACGCTCCCTCGCTTGACCCGCTCAGTCCTCCTCCTTGCTCTCGCTCCTCTCGCCCTTCTTCCTCGTCCGCGCTGCTCTCCTGGCCCTTGTTCTCCGTGCCAACCTTTGTGTGTCGTGCTACAGATTGCGACTCCTCTCTCTCTCTCGCTAGCTTACACCCGCCCCTCGTCTCGTCTCGCTCGCTTCACCTCGAATGGCCGCAACTGTCCACCCTCACCCGTTCGCCGCAACCTCAGCACTCTACTCGCACGCACACAACGCAACCATGGCCACCGTCCCACAGCGACCCGCGCCTGCCGTGCCCGCACCGTCGTCGGGCTCTGCCGCGCCAGACCCCCATTCTCGCCCCGACGCTCACTCGACTGCCACAGCCTCGCACCCCCAGAAGACGCAGGGTGCGAGCCAGATGCCAATGGAAGACGTCGCCGCCGCCCTTCCAGCCGTCACAGCACCCGCCGCTTCCGTCGCGCAGCAACAACCTCCCCAGCCCGACCCGAAGCCAAAGGAGAAAGAGAAGCGCAAGATTCGCTTCTCCGTCGGGACAGAGTACAAGGTCGAGGAGATCATTGGGGAGGGAGCGTATGGGGTTGTTTGCTCGGCGACGCATCTCAGGACGGGCGTGAGGGTCGCGATCAAGAAGGTGTCGCCGTTCGACCATTCGAGTGAGTTTCTTCGCCTTAGTCGCGAGCGCGAGCTCTTTGAGTCAGGGGATGCGTGGCTGGACGAGGATCGGTCGCGGGGACTTGCTGACCTCGACTTTCGTCTTCCCCCCGCAGTGTTTGCCCTTCGCACGCTTCGCGAAGTCAAGCTCTTGCGATACTTTGCAGAGAACCAGGTGTCGGAAAACCTGATCACCATCGTCGACGTGATCAAGCCGTCTTCGTACGACTCGTTCAAGGAGGTGTGCTCCTTTCCGCTTTCTCGCTCTACCCGGGTCTCTAGCTGACGAGGGCGTGAGCGACAGGTTTACCTGATTCAGGAATTGATGGAGACGGACTTGTACCGCGTGATCAAGACGCAACAACTGTCAGACGATCAGTGAGTCTCGCTCACCGCTACTTTTCGACTTCGCTCACGCGCGTTACTTGCCCAGTGTGCGGTATCTTGTCTATCAGTGCGTCTCGCATTCACTATCCCCAGTCTTGTTGTGCTGACGTCTGCAAACAGGACCCTCCGCGCCTTGAAAGCCCTCCACTCCGCCAACGTCATCCACCGGGACCTCAAGCCCTCCAACCTCCTCCTCAACGCCAACTGCGACCTCAAGATCTGCGACTTTGGTCTAGCGCGGTCGGTCGACACGGCTGAACCGAGCGGCGGAGAGGCGGGGGGCTTCATGACGGAGTACGTTGCGACGCGGTGGTACCGCGCGCCCGAGATCATGCTTTCGTGCGTTTAAGCGTCTGTTCGAGCGATGTAGCGAAGGCGTGAGGCGCAGGACGCGAACTTACCCTTGACCTTCGCAACCTCGCGTGCAGGTTTAAGCAATACTCAAAGGCTATCGACATCTGTGCGTCCTATCTTTGGGCTTGCTAGCTCTGTTACTGACGTTTCGAGCCCTGCAGGGTCCGTCGGCTGCATCTGCGCAGAGATGCTGAGCGGCCGGCCGCTCTTCCCAGGACGAGACTGTGCGTTTAGTCCTGCGCTTGTCCTCCGTCCTTCGCTGACTCGCCTCTGACCCGCAGACCACCACCAGCTGACGCTCATCCTGAGCGTGACCGGCACGCCGATGATGGACGAGTAAGCTTGCCAAACCGTCTCCGCCGCCGCCAAATCCGACTGACCGTCCGCCTGCGCAGATTCTGCCGCATCACCTCGCGCCGCTCGCGAGACTATCTCCGCGCCCTCCCCTTCCAGCGCAAACGTCCCTTCGCTGAGCTCTTCCCGAACGCCTCTCCCCTCGCACTCGACTTTCTCGCCGCAACACTCACTTTCGACCCGACCAAGCGCATCACGGTCGAGCAGGCGCTCGAGCATCCCTATCTCGCTGCGTACCACGACCCGACTGATGAGCCTACCGCGCCGCCTCTCGACCCGGGCTTCTTCGACTTTGACCTCGACAAGCCGAGCCGCGAAGAGATCCGCAAGTTGCTGTACAACGAGGTCATGACCTTCAAGCGCATCATCTGAGCGCTCCCCTCGCTCCTTCTCTCTCTATCTCGATACCCATTCCCTCCCGTAGCCCTCGCATAGTTTCTCGTCCCTTCGCATCGCATGTCACGCAAAAATTGTCGTTCGTTTTGCAAGATGCGAGAGCGTGAGGTGGGACGAGTCTACATGCGAAGAAGAACATACGTGCAGAGCGAAAGCTGGCATAGCGACATGGCGTGGAGGCGGGGGAATCATGGGCAGCGAAAGGAGGGGTATCGAGGCGTGCGAGAAGCGACGCTATGTGCGGAGGGTGTAGTAAAGGATGTACGCCGACTTTGCCTGTCGGTGCCGAGACAGTCAGCCCACATTTCGAGGGGAGAGACGACGGGAAAGACGCACCGACTCGACGACGCGAGGATCGCATGGCGTGACCTTCGAGTCGCCGATGTTGTTCCATTCTTTGCCGCTGCGGACGTAGGCAGTGCTGCAGAAAGTAGCGTCAATCGACGGGCAACGCACAGATTGCGGGCAACGGGAGACTCACTAATGGCCACTGCTAAGGTTGCCGTAGTGGTTCGTCACGCCGAAGAGATCGTAGATGTAGCCATTCGGCGGGCCAGGGTTGATGGGCTGGCCCATCTTGTCAACGAGCGGAGGCGGCAGGAAGGCGTTCAAGTCGAGGCCGGCGAGCGGGTACTGCACTTGCGTCTCGAGCTGCGGAGTGGACTTCGTCAGTTCTGGCGAGCGAATGAGCGGCACGGGACGCACCTTGTCGCTGAACGGCCCGTGAAAGGAAAAACGCTTGAGGTGGATGACGAGGATGGGCGGAAGCTTCGACAGCGAGAGCTTCTTGATCGCCTTGCGATTCTTCTTGCAGCGAGGACAGTGCCTGCGAAGGACAGGCGTCAGCTCGGGAAGCTGGACAGAGAGCTATCTCCGCGCACCAAGCATCATCCTTGTCCAGCACCTCGTCGCGAACGAACGCCTCGAGACAAGCCATGAGCGAGACCTTGTGGATGCCCCGTCCTCCGGGTATGGGTACGGAGAGCGGCATGAACGTGTTGTAGGTCGTCGAAGTCTGCGTCAACAGCGTCAGCCTATCGAACGAGTCGGCCGAGGTGGGCGGCGCACCTTCTGGCAAGTCAAGCACCGCAGCTGGTTGCGGAACTGCCCTTGGAAGAGGCGGACGATGAAGCTGTCGTTCCGCATCTTGTAAATCTGCCACTCGCGCTCGCTCATCAACTGCGCCGGCAGCGTCTCGAGGTCGTGCTCGCGGTCCGGCGTCATCTCGACCGGCGGCGGTTTCTTGAGGACGTAGTTGCAGTCCTCATGCAGGCCGTCCAGGAGAAAACCGAGGAACTCCTGCGCGTCATGCTGGTCGGAGCCGCGGAACTGTGGTGCGACGCGGCAGATGGCTTCTCGGAAGGTGACGGGCGAGAGAAAGTGATACTGCTGCGCCCAGAGCGCGCGAATGAGCTCGGCGACGGCATTGGCGAGCGCACCCTTCGTGCCGAGCGGGTTGACCGTGTTGATGTCCTTGCGGTAGGACCCGCCGGTGAAGTACCGCGCGAAGGGGATTGCAGCGCTCAGACACTGGATCGTCGAGTTCATGTAGCAGGTGTTGCCGAGGTTTTTGAGCCCGCTGATGCCAACGACACCTTCGTCGAAGCTGAGCATGCTCGTAGGGAAGCGCGAGTGCGCCGACGAGTATTGCGCCGGCTGCATGCTGGAGAAGGACGAATTCGACCGAAGCGGAGCAGGCTTGGCGGGTGGTGGCCGAGCGACTGCCGGTACAGGCGGAGGCGGACGTATCGCTTGCGTGACGGGCGGAGCTGGACGAGATTGTAGCTGAGGGTAGTCGATCGAAGGGCGGGCGTAGTCGAAGGAAGTGCGGGGGTAGTTGGAGCTGGCGTAAGGCGACGCGCCGGACGGGCTGGGCCTGTACATGTCGCTGTGATCCGCGAGCGTGCGAGGTGTAGGGTAGTGCATGCCGGGAGATATCGATTCGGGAAACCCGTGGAGGGGAGCCTGGCTGTACGAGGGCCGAGAAGTAACAGGTGGTGACGGTGCGAAAGGGTCGTAAGCCGGCGCCGATCCGGATCGCTGAGCGACGGCTGGAGGCATGGCGAGTCGAGGGGAGAGGACGCGATTCGACGTAGACGGGTACGGCTGGACATCGTGAGTGGACGGCGGCCCATGTGCAGCCTGCAGCTCGTATGGTCAGCACATGTGGGGGAGAGCTCAGGACAGCGATACTGACCTCGCCGTGCCCGTTCCGCATCACCAGTCCGTCGCCTGGCATCACCGCCGCCCGGCGATTCGCCTTCTTCGCATCCCGTGCCGCATCGTCCACCGCATGCCCATTCGCTCGTGCGATGGCGCTCCCCACGCTCCCCTTCGGCCCAACCTGCTTCTCCCACGCCTCCCATCCGCCTCGCAGCAAGATTGGCTGCCGCTGGAGCGATTTGGTGAACTCGCGCTCGTAAATGGCATTAACAAGGTTCCAGAGCGTGCGCTGAGCGTCGGAAGAGGTAGAGGGAGGCGCGGTGTTGGGCAGAGTGGCCGACGAGCGATCGTAAATCACGACGATGTCGTAGTGATTTCGAGCGGAGAAGAGGGCGGCTTCGTGCGGCGGGGCGAGGCTGAGGGCGTCTTCGATGTCGGTGCTTCGAATGCTGCGGCAAGGTGTCAGTCTCAGGTCTCGAAACAAGACGATGCAGAACGCACCCGTGGCGCAAGGCCAGAGGTTCGAGGCAGACGGTCTCGCCTCGTATCCGCCCGCGGTCGTACTCGTCTCGACTCCGCACATCGAGCAGCAACACTCGCGGGCCGCGCCCGGTCTCGCCCTGGGCAGTCTGGAGATATTGCCACAGCTCGAGAGGGCGGACTTCGGCCGAAAAGGGGATCTTGAGGGACTTGCTCGCGGATGAGGGCGGAGGCAGCGGCGTCGGGGTCGAGGTCGTCGAGGATACAGAGGAAGACACGGATGGAGGAGGTTGACGTCCGCCGGGTCGGAGAGCTGGCGGAAGATTATCTCGGGACGAGCGTTTCTCGGCTGGAGCGATCGAGGTGCGCTCAAAGTCGGCCGCAAGTCGAGCAAAGTCGCCTTGAGGTGGAGATGAGGCAATCATGGCGTCAGCGCGCGGTGATCGAGGCGCTGGCGGAGGAGGACGAGCGGGTTTGGCAGGTGCCGCAGACGGATCGAAAGAAGGGACGGAGGGGAAGGAGAAGGACGACGAGGCGGCGGAGGGGTCGGATGTAAGCCGAGACTGCTCGACACGCTGCTCGAGGTCGTCCACGCTCGGAAACGCCGACATGAAGCGAGTCGGAGACGGCAAGTCGCTCAAACCGCTCAAGGCCCCTCGATCTTCCGGCGCTATACCCACTCCTCCTGCAGGTCCTCTGTCCAGCACTCCGCGCTCTGCATCCGCAATGGGTACTCCGCCCTCCTGGCGAAACTGCACGGCCGAGTCCTCCCAGACTGTCGCGGGCTCCTGCACATCTGACATCGGCAAGATGGGCGGCGTGCTGCCTGTTCGCTCGACTGCGTCATCCGCCACGAGGTCACCGGTCTCGGCTCGAGGACTCGAAGTCGGCGACAACGGAACAGCAGATTGTCGCAAGGTGCGAGACGAAGACTGTCGAGGCGATGTGGAAGGGCGGACAGGCGGAGGAGGCTGAGAATTTGGGGCCGCCTGGGGTATGTTGGACGTTGCACCAGGAAGGCCGGATGCACGGAGAGCAGCTAGTCGATCTGCGAGGGTTGCGGTCGGGAAGCAGGGCGTCTTCTGCGGTGCTGGCCTCGAGGTCGAGGCGGCGGGTGCGGGTCTACATGACGATGTCAGTGCGTCATCTCGGAGAGTATACCCTTGATCCAGACGCACGCTCGTTCCAGCCCATTTCGCTCCGCTCCCTCCCTCGTCTCCGCCTTGGCATGCTCACGAGTCCATTCTGCCTCCCGATTCTCAAGCCACCGGACGACCTGGTCGTTGGGTGCTCTTGCCTCTGTCGCAAGCTGTGGATAGGAAGGAGCGTTAGCACGGAGGCGGAGAAGAGGAAGGTCCCAGCCGCACTCCGCGAAGGCTGACAAAGGTGTAGTACTCGGGCGACTTGGTCGAGACCATGCGGTGGTAGTCTGGATGGTTGAGGATGAGGTGCATCACCCTGCGTAACGTCAATCGCTCGCGTTAGCCAAGTCCTCGTCCTCATCGGTCAAGTGGGGGTCGAGTTGAACGGGCCAGCGAGAGGTTGCCAGGACGGCCGGCGATGCGTCCGTCCACGTGATTGACCCTTCAGATGCCAAGCCGACTCTCTACCATGCCGTGCCCGCCCGCGTTCGCCCTTCGTGACCAAGAGGACGACCGGGACTCACCCAGCGGCCCGTTTGTACTCGAGAAAGGCCTCTTCGACCTTGCGCGGGTCTTTGGTTCGCTGCCCCTCCCGCCAGCATCGCTCTGCCGTCTCGAATGCGACCCGCGCAGTGCTGCTCCACGCCCGGATTGAGTACTCGCTCGGGCGCAGGTTGGCGAGGGTGTCGTGGCTCCTGCGCCGCAGCTCGGCGAGCGGTGTCGGCGGCGTCTGCGAAGCGACTGCCATAGCTCGAGCAAGCAGTCCCTCGCCTCGGTGCAGAGCGTTTGCGAGCGGGATGCGGTCTGATGACGAGAGGGTCGCCTCATCTCTTGACCCTTGACCGCTCACTCGGCATCCTCCTGCGTGCTGTGGGCGACCTGAGACTGTTACCCGCTACTTGATCTATTTGCTGAATCGCTCCCGAGCGGCTCGCTTCGCTCAAACTGTCCTCAAACACCTCACGAACGAGATCCTCTGCGACATCTGCTCACACCGAGGAATCTCCCTCTGCTGGCTCACGCGTGCGACAGATTCTGCGACTGGGTGCTTCTCGACATCCGGGGAGTTTGCGGGAGGATCGGGGGCCGACGTCGGGAACAAGGCAGCTGGACCACTTTGCCTCCTCTGCTCGAAGTCGTTGTCTCCAAAAACGCTCATCCACCAGCTCAGGCGTCGCCTGTTCAGGCGGACGAGGCGACGTCGCTGTTTGAGCAGATTCGGCAGTACCTCGAGGACTGCAAGGCGTCGATCGACGGCTTGAAGGCGGACAAGGCCTCTCTGGAGGCCGAGTCGCAGGCGGCGGCGACGAAGGCCGCGGCAGCAGACGCAGATGCGCAGGCGAAGGAGCGGTGCGTGGGTTCCGTCGGTCGCAGGTCCCGCGCTCGCGCTCGCGCTTACCTGCGCCTCGTTCTCGCAGCGCGCTCGTCGGACGCGAGCAGGAGCTCGACGAGAGTCGCGATTGCTGCGCTCGTCTCGAGGGCCTCGTCTCCCGCCTGAACGGTCTCGTGCAAGGCCTCGCTGGCGACGTCGCCAAGGAAGTCGGCGAATTCGACCTTCCGACTCTGCGCATTGCCTCTGCTGCTGCTCCTGCGGCGTCGCCCACCGGTGCCGGCGCGGACACCGTCGCGTTGGCATAGGTGCAGGGTAGGTGCAGGATGCCTCGCTTGGGTAGGATTCCGCTTGGGTAGCCTCGCTTGGAACGAAGATTGCTTTACATGTCCGACCGCTGCGCTCTGCGTTCCCCAGTCCGTGAACAGCTTTTTGCTGATGAGCTTGTGCTTCGGAGCAAGCAGAATGATTGTCAGAGCTTTGTAACCCCAAGCAAAACCGAGCGACGCGTCCGCGAGAGTTGTCCTTTCTTGCGGCGCAGGCTTCTTTGGCTCGACTGGCTGTAGGGAACAAAAGATAAGGGCAATAGACGTCCGTCGCCGATGCTTGGGAAGCCAAGGCGTGCAGGGAAAGGACGCAAAAGATGAAGGGAAGCCCCGAACCCGGATTGAACGGATGACCTGACGATACCCAGGGATTAACTGGAGTCGCCCGCTCTGCCACTGAGCTACCAGGGCTTGTGATAGACGGTACAGACGTTGCGGTACAGCAGCCGCCAGCCGGAGGTCGAAGAATGGTGACCTTCTCAAGTCTCCGTCCTCCAGTCCGCTGTTTACTCCCCTCGCCCGCGAGGTGCCCGTAGGCCAGGGTGCCAGGGGATAGAAAGCAGAAGAGCCTTGGGAGGATAGCTCAGTGTGTTCAAGGACGGAAAAGGTCGAGCTTCCCGGGCAAGTGCAACCTTCGCGAGCCGACTCGTGTTCTCTGGGCCTCACAGTGCAGGCTGTCGATTGCTTTACAAGAGCTACGAACCTATGGAGATGCTCTGTTGCTTCTGAGCTGCACGGCGGCCCAGGAGGGGTGGAGCGGCGGCTCAGAGCTGCTCGTCAGCCTCTGGCCGCTGACCTCCTTCCTTCAGTTCACCGTCTTTCGCCTTGTGGCTTGGCGCAGGGTTGCTCAACTTTTGCAGCCTGATGGCACAGTCCCTCGCTTTCGGCCACACTGCGAAATGGAGGGTGGAAGAGCGGATCTCGCTACCCTTGTCGAGCGACCTCGAGGCTCTTACCAAAGCTGGAGCTATCGCACTTGAACCTGACTTGCGAGAGCGAGCTGCGCAAGTCGAAGAGCGAGCGAGAAAAACGCCGCCCGTTGTATTTACGGCGATTCGATCTGCCTTTCGACGGGCGGAGTGCGAGTTCTTCGAAGCCTCCCCTCGAGCTGCTTCACGAGTACAACTTGCAAGCCCGCCCTTCCAGGGGTAGAGGTCTATCCACGACTTCGCCGTGTGAGCACGTTTCCCAGAATTTTCGGGAAATGCGAGCAGAAGAGCGGTCGAGCAACGAAGAGCCTCCCCTCGAGTAGGAAAGGGTTATCGCGAAGCAATACAATCCGGGTTGTATTCCTTTGTCTCGCTTCGAAAGCTGTTACAGCCGCTCCACGCCGCCTGGCGGGCATTCTGTCGAGCTGAACGAGATGCCAGAAGCACTCTGAAGCGCAACGCACCCTGCAACAGGCTGCACCCGACGAAGACACACTGAGAGCGAGTCGTAATCAGGCTTTGTAATGCCTCAATACCCGGAGGCACGAGGGCATGACTTCCTCTCCCTCTCACTCGCTTTGTCTTGCTGGGGCTCTTCGCTTGGCAGTCCTATGCTTGGACTACTTGCACGGGCTGCAGGCGCGCCCGAAACGCTTCCGCTCCGCCCTCGCCGTTCCGCCTCTCCGTCCTCGCTCGGAACGACTGCCGACCTCGCCAGTTGGCTCGCAAGACACGCTCAAAGTCCCGATAGACACGCTGTAAGCTCTCCAGCTTGTGCTGCCAGCTTGCGCAGGCCCACGCTGACCCTTCTCGCTCCGTGTCACGCAGCTTCCGCCTTTCTCCTAGTTCTCGCCACGCTTTGCTGGGCGCTGGTACGCCGCGACGCCTCGACGACGCTGTACACGGTTTGCGCGGTCGTGAGCGGCGCACAGGGCGGGTTGAGAGCGTGCTGGGCAGGCGGGGAATGGCGCAGGTCGTTGGGTACGTCGCTTTCCTCCTAGCCTTCGCTCTCGCATCCCGTTGAAGTCTTGAGCAACTTGCTGATTGAATGTGTTCTCTGTTGCGGCATTGTAGGAGGTGACTCACTGCGCCGCCTCGCACTTACCGCTGACACCCATGCTCGACCTCTCTATCTCGCTCTCCCTCGTCGTACTCCTTCGTCCCCGTCGTCCGTTCATCTTGCCTTCGAACGACCGACACAGCCGGCAAGCTTGAGCCGTCGTTGTATCTGCTCTGCGTGAACCGGACAAGCCTGCGCGAGGCGACCTTCTCCTCGTCCGCTGGCTGGACCGGAATGCTTCGTGACTGGCTTGCTCGCCTCGTCATCCTCAGCGCAACGTCCTGTTGTGTTTTGTCCGTTTCTCCGGTCAAGGCCGGCTCGAACAGACTCGCTTCGCCGCACGACTCGCTCACCTCGTCCACGCCAAAGTCTCTCGCGGAGCTCGGCACTGCCTTGACATCCAGCAGGGCACTTGAAAACGACACGATCATTCAGGAGAACGTGCGGAACCGAAGAGGCGAAGGTCGAGGAGGACTTGACGCGCTAACCTTCTCCTCGAATCTCTCACAGCAAGCGCTGACCGTCTCCTTTGCAGGAATGACTCCATCGTACCTGAGTCTCCACCTCCCGCCGTCTTGGTCTCGCCTTGCCAAGTCCTGACTTCCTGCGAAGAGTTTCACCGACAGCGTGGCCCGCAACACCACTTCCGCCCGGACTCGCCTGCAACGACCCGCCAGCACACGCGCCCACTCTGCTTCAATGCAGGACTTTCGCCCGTGTACGGCGCTTCGGATTGCGCCGTACCGAGCGGCTCAACGGCACTTGCCGGTTCGAACGGGAGCAGACGAGTGCGCGGGTCGGGTCGCGACGTTCTCGAGGAGCGCGAGACGGGTATATTGAGGAGCGAGGTACGCTCGCGTCCCGACAGAATCCGGGCGCGGACCAGGACAATGGCGAGAAGTTCCCGCTCATCCGCAGGCTGACTTTTGCCTGCCAACCCACCCACAGATCGGTCATCGGTGCGTTGGGCGCGCTACAAAAGTCCTGAAGAGCGGCGCGACGGGCGGACGAAGCGGTACTAGGCAAGGGGCGACCACCGTGAGCCCGTCTCGCTCGTGACCTTCCCAGCTTTCCGCACGCTTGGAATCACCCGCTGGCGCTTTCTGGTGGTCTTTGCAGGCTCGAACATGTCCTCAAGGCGGCCACCTGGAGCGCACAACGCCAGAGCAGCTGTGGACGCCAACTAATCGCCCATCTTCCGCAACATCATTCTCACGATCGTCTCGCGCTCGCCCAGATCGTCTGCGACCGCCGCTCCCACCTCGTCCCCGTCTAGCTTATACACTGTTTGACTAGACGAGCCGACAGGAACGCCCCTAGCCGCTCTCCTACGCCGTAAAAACGTATTCTCGCTGAAATAACAGAATCGACCGTATCTCGACTTCCTGTGGAGCAAACGGCCCCAAAATTCGCCTACCCACGCTTCAGACACCGGGATACACGGCTGTGTGCAAGAAAAGGCGAAATCTCGACTTGCGGAAAAAATTGGCGCGAATAGGGTCCCCCTACATTTTGATACTTCGCCCACCGCCGACGTCTCGCAGGACGCCGGCATACGTCCCCTTGGGTTAGGTAGTTACAGCGGAATCTACAAGTATTCTGGCGAGCTCTCCAGACCGATGCTGCGAGCAGGAGAGCCCATTGCAGGTCAGCGAGCGTCCGAGCGACATCCAGAGATGCGCGAGGGAAGCGAGCCAGCAGGGTGACGCATCATAGGGTAGAGTCTCTGCAAGGGCAACAACCCCTACCGAGAACGGGACATTCGAGGCGATTCCGCTGGCATTGCTGAAGGCGCAAGAGTCTCTCGCCGAACTCGAACACAGTCTCTCGACCTTGCTGAAGGAACAGAGCATCTCCATAGGTTCGTAGCTCTTGTAAAGCAATCGACAGCCTGCACTGTGAGGCCCAGAGAACACGAGTCGGCTCGCGAAGGTTGCACTTGCCCGGGAAGCTCGACCTTTTCCGTCCTTGAACACACTGAGCTATCCTCCCAAGGCTCTTCTGCTTTCTATCCCCTGGCACCCTGGCCTACGGGCACCTCGCGGGCGAGGGGAGTAAACAGCGGACTGGAGGACGGAGACTTGAGAAGGTCACCATTCTTCGACCTCCGGCTGGCGGCTGCTGTACCGCAACGTCTGTACCGTCTATCACAAGCCCTGGTAGCTCAGTGGCAGAGCGGGCGACTCCAGTTAATCCCTGGGTATCGTCAGGTCATCCGTTCAATCCGGGTTCGGGGCTTCCCTTCATCTTTTGCGTCCTTTCCCTGCACGCCTTGGCTTCCCAAGCATCGGCGACGGACGTCTATTGCCCTTATCTTTTGTTCCCTACAGCCAGTCGAGCCAAAGAAGCCTGCGCCGCAAGAAAGGACAACTCTCGCGGACGCGTCGCTCGGTTTTGCTTGGGGTTACAAAGCTCTGACAATCATTCTGCTTGCTCCGAAGCACAAGCTCATCAGCAAAAAGCTGTTCACGGACTGGGGAACGCAGAGCGCAGCGGTCGGACATGTAAAGCAATCTTCGTTCCAAGCGAGGCTACCCAAGCGGAATCCTACCCAAGCGAGGCATCCTGCACCTACCCTGCACCTATGCCAACGCGACGGTGTCCGCGCCGGCACCGGTGGGCGACGCCGCAGGAGCAGCAGCAGAGGCAATGCGCAGAGTCGGAAGGTCGAATTCGCCGACTTCCTTGGCGACGTCGCCAGCGAGGCCTTGCACGAGACCGTTCAGGCGGGAGACGAGGCCCTCGAGACGAGCGCAGCAATCGCGACTCTCGTCGAGCTCCTGCTCGCGTCCGACGAGCGCGCTGCGAGAACGAGGCGCAGGTAAGCGCGAGCGCGAGCGCGGGACTTGCGACCGAGGGAGCCGACGCACCGCTCCTTCGCCTGCGCATCTGCGTCTGCTGCCGCGGCCTTCGTCGCCGCCGCCTGCGACTCGGCCTCCAGGGACGCCTTGTCCGCCTTCAAGCCGTCGATCGACGCCTTGCAGTCCTCGAGGTACTGCCGGATCTGCTCGAACAGCGACGGAAATTCAACGACATTGTCGAACGAGACGTTGATGGCGTGGTCGGCGGCGATGGACGACATGACGGCACGAGCGGCAACATTCGCGGACTCGAGGCGCCTCCTTAGGTCGTCCGCCTCGGTGCCGAGAAGCGCGACCTGTGCATCGGCTTCTTGCATGCGCTTCAGCAACGAGTCGACGGCGGCGAGGAGAGACTGGAGCGAGTAAGGCGGCTTGGCGGCGAAGCGAGGGAGAGAGAACCTGTCGACGGCATGGAAGACGTGCTCGCCGATTGCATCGCGCTCGCTGTCGATTCAAGCCGAGGGAGTCAGCCGAAAACCTGATCGAGAGATGTGTGGACGCACCCCTCGGCACTCTGAAGCCTCTTCTCCAGCGCAGCCTTGCCGGCGACCGAAGACGCGAGCGAGTCCTCGAGCTCCGCCTTCTGCTGCTCGAGCATAGCCTTCGCCAGCTGAAGCTCCGCCTTCTCCTTCTCGAGTGCGACCTTGTCCTGCTCGAGGGCCGCCTTCTCCTGCAGCAACTCGTTACGCTCCGACTCAGCTTCCTCGGCGCGCGTCTGAAGCTCCGTGTCGACACAGAGCTGCGCCGCAAGGTCGCCTTCGAGACCCGCAATCTTGGCGTCGCGCGACTCGACCTGACTGTTGCCGATGGAGACGAAGTCAGTCAAGTTGACGGACGGAGGAGTACGTTGACGTACGCCCTCCACGTCTGCATCTCTTTTACTGCCTCGCACTCGAGGTCTTCGTGGTCAACGTACTTTTCCGCCAAGGGACGAAGTTCCTCCAAGACGTCCTGCAAGTCCTCATTCTCCCCGGCGAGCGCGGCGAGGTCGCCATTCATGGCCGTGATCGCCTGCTGGTCGGCCTGCGTCAAAGCTCTGTTGCGAGATGACAGCGTCAGTACGCGCGCCCACCACAACGAAGGAGAGCGAACGCACTTCTCCTCGGCCTCGGTGGCTTGAAGGCGGGCCTGCAGCCCGACAACCTCCTCGCGCAGCTTGCTCTTCTCGTTTGCAAGCTGCTGGTTCTTCGACGAGGCTTCGCGAAGTGCGGCCTCGTTCACTGCCTTCTCCTGACTGAGGAGCTCGACCTGCTTCTGCAAACCTTCGAGGTCCGCCTCGAGCTCCGCTGAGCGAGTGCGCACAGTCGAGAGATCGACTAGAGCTTTGTCGAGTTCGCTACGTGTTTGAGACGGTTAGCGGGACGTACGATGAAGGCGGGAGGACGATCTTACGCCTTGAGCTGCTCGTTTTCCTTCTCCACCTTGCCCTTCTCCGTCCTCTGTTCGGCGGCGAGCGACTCCTGGGCACGGAGCAGTTCCTTCTTGGTCGCCGCCAGCTCCCCGTTGAGCTTCTCCACCTGCCTCACCGCCTGCTGCCTTTGCTCCTGGCCCTCGCGGTCGCTGGCGAGGAGCGCCTCGTACGCTGACTCGGACGCTTGCAAGTCGCGGTCAAGCTCAGCGATCTTGGCGTCCTTCTTGGCGAGCTCATCGCGCAAGCCGTCCTCGACGGCGTACGAGTCTCCGAGCGCGCGGCGATAGGCCTCTTCGCGCTCCTCGAGGCGAGCGATGTCCACCGGACTCGCCTTTGCGGCGGCACCAGCGACGTCGAGCTGTTTCAGGAGGGCGACACGCGCCGCAGCTTCGCCGTTGTACCGGTAGAGGAGGTCGAGGCGCGTCGATTCGAGGGCCAGGATGCGCTCGGCGCAGTCAGTGAGGATGTCGTGGTGGCCGCTGGGTGACGGAAGGCGTCAGTGAGTGCAAAGAAAGCGATATGATGGACGAGACGCACCGCTGAAGCAGGTCGAGGTCGATACGCGAGCTGTTGACCTTCGCAACCTCGGAAGCAAGCCTGCTCCTCAGCTCGAGCTCTTCGCCCATCTTGTCGACGCGCTCGGTGGCGAGGACGTCTCCCTCGGCACGCTCGCGAGCAGAGGAAGGCGGCGCCGACACCTGCCTCTTCTCCTTCGCCGGAGCTGGACCGACTGGAGAAGGAATCCTGAACGCCGCTGCGAAGGGGTTGCGGGCAGTCGTACTGCCGCCGTCAATCTCGGCGGCGATGTCCGTGTCGCGCTTGGTGCCAGCCGATGGACCGGGCGAAGGCGCTGAGGAAGCGCGGTCGAAGAGGAAGTCGTCGATGGCGAAAGCGCGACTCGAGCGCGCCTCCTGATTGGCCTCGTAGGCATCCTGAGCAGCCGTGTCGTCCGCATTGAGGTCCGAGGCGCCGAGCTGCTGTTCGCCGTTGCGGCGACCTTCTTCGCGAGCGGGCGAAAGCTTCTGGCGCGACGTCGCGGGAATGTCGATGTACGGCTCGAGCACCACCTTCGCTCTGCCCTTGCCCTTGTCCTTGACGGCTGCGGCGCCGGTCGACGGGCCCGGTGTGGGTTGGCGGGCCTCGTGCTCTTCCTCCTCGACGCCCTCCTCGAGCTCCTCGACCTGTGCATCCCCGCCTCCGTCCGATGCGACAGGACGGCGCGCCCAAGCTTCGTCGACGGCCGCCTTGATCTCCTCGTCCTCCTCGTCGCTGCTGACATCGCCGCCGTGCTGAGCCGCCGTGCGCTTGTAGATCATCGTCTTCGCCCTGTAGTAGACGTTGGTCTCGGCGACGGTCTGAAGCTGGTGCTCAAGTTCGGCGATGCGCTCGCTGTCGGCAGAAGCCTGAGCCTCGAGGCGAGCGATGAGGTCGGCCTTCTTGAGCTTCTGCAGCGCTGACTTGCCGAGGGGCTTGAGGTCGACCTTGTTCTGCGCGTCTGCAGCCTCGGCCTCGCTCGCGGGTTGGGCCTCGTCTTCCTCGCCGGTTTCGGCCGCGGCAGCGGCGTCTCCGGCGAGCTTGACCCTCTTGCGAGGCGGAGAACGCGATCCCGTCGCAGCTTGTTTCTTCCTCGACGACGCGTCTTGACCCAAAACCTGCGGCACACGGACGACCACCTTCTTGCCCATCTTGGCGCGAGTCTTGGACTTGAGCGGCGACGAAGGCGGTTCCTCCTCGTCCGTCTCGACGTCCGCCTCTCCCGCACTCTCCGGCTCGACGTTGACGCCCTTCTCCGAGTACGGCGAGACGACACTCTTCGACTTCTTCGCCGGCGACGTCGAGCCCTTGGGCGACGAGCCCGAAGTAGCCATGCCCGTCGAGCCGGATGTGGCCGAGGTCGTGCGCTTGCGCGTCCCAGGCTTCTTCGCCGTCGACGTCGAGATGCCGCGGTTGGTGAGGTAGACGTCTGCGGCGTGCTTGTCGTCGTCGTAGTCGCCGCTCTACGTGTAGCCAAGAGTCAGTCTCCGCTCAAGAGCGAGGAAGTCTGTCGCCCGGCGCCAACTCACCTCGTCCTCCTTCAGCTCATCGAGCTCAGTGCCCACCGCCTCGTCGACCGCGAGGACTCCGCCGCCCTTGTCCGTCTGCTTCTTCTTGAGCAAGCCTTTGTCGACCAAGAGGTCCTTCGCCTGCTTCAACGACTTCTTCAGCTGGACGGACGACGCGCCGCCGTGACCCTGGAAGCGCTCCATGACTGCGTGTGCAACAAGTGCAGAGTCAGTCACGAAGTCAAAGAGGAGGAGCGGAAGTGTGCGACGCACCGGTGTCGTGAACCTTGCGGTGCCCGACGCCAACCTGCTCGTCCTTCGTGAGGTTGTAGACGGTGGCGAGCACCGTCCCAGCGAGGTCCTTAACGTCGACCTGCGCTCCTCCGCTCGCCCTCGCCGCACCCTTCCCCTTGCGACGCCGCCTTCGCCTTCGCCACGCCAACGACAGACTTCTTAACACCGCCCTTCCTCGCCGACGACGACGCCGCGACCTTCTTCTTCTTCGGCGGCGCGGGTGCGTGAGCTCCTCCGGCGCTCGTGTAGTCGGCGGGATCGAACCGCTTGGGCGGGTGGCGCTCGCGCGTCGGGCGCTTGGACGCGGGTGTAGCAGCCCTCGTGCGAGCCATCTGTGCTCTCGTGTAAGTCGTCCAAGCGAGAGAGTGAGCGAGATGCGAGAGGAGAGAGCGAGAGGAGCGAGGTGGGGAAAGAGGAGTCACCGCTGACGCGCTGACGCGACTGATATCGCGGTATGGAGGGATTGGCAGCTCAGAAGCGTCGCAGGATGCGCAGGGAAGTCGCAAGGAAGACGAAAGAGGACGAAGTGGGCGAGAAAGAGGCGACCTTCGTCGAGGAAGTCGAGTTGCAAGTCGTGCGCTGCTTCCTAGGCGCGATCGTCAAGCGAGAGGTCGTAAGCTCTTGCGAAGAGTAGCATGCGAGCGTCGAAGCCGTTCGAGCTGGTCAAACCTGAACCCAGGCGGATGCAATGCGATTGCGAAGGACGAGGGAGGCAAAACGGCGAATGCTTGATGCGACAACACGTATAGACAGGCGGGCGGTATTGCTTAATACATGACGCGTCGAGAGGGATGGCATGAGTCGATCAAAGCAAGTGGAGCGGATCAAGAGGAGGACGAGGGCGGAGAGGCGGGTGAGGTAGCCGGGCCTGCGGTCGTCAACGACGGCTGCGGGCGACAAGGTCAGCTATAACATGGAGTACACGAGCATAAGAGCGCACCTGTCGCTTTGTATTCGGCCTCGCCGCCTCCATCTCGACCGGCGCGAGCGCAGCCATATCCAGTCTCTGAACAGTCGGCTCCATCTCAACGGCCGCCTCATCGTACCCCTGCGACGGCGCTCCCACCGACGCAAACGACGCGTCCCGCAGCCCTCCAAGCGGCGACGTCGGCCTCGAGAGCGAGTGCTCCGGGTCGAGCTGGATACCGGGAAAGAGGTCCATCGCATCTCCTCGCCAGGTTTGCGGGTCGTCCGAGTCGGGCGCGACGGTCTGGTCGGGTGCAGTTCCAGTGCGAGGGGAGGAAGGGGGTCTCGCTGCGGGGGTGCGGCCGGTCCCGCCCGAACCCTTTCCGCTACTCCCGCTGAGCGAGAACCGACCTGCACCCATCGGAGGAAGGCGCACGAGTGCAAACATTATGCTGAAGTAGGCGACGAGCGGGATAAGATTGCTGAAGTAGAGGCTGGTCTGCTGGGCAGCGGCGAAAGACGAGGAGAGAGAGTGGGAGATGGCGAAGGCGAAGACGGCGAGACCGAGCAGGCCGGGCGCTTCGACGGCGGTCGAGATGCGCCTGTAGTAGCGCGATGCGGTGGAGCTGCCGAGATGAATTGTCAGGCTGGAGAAGTTAGCCGCGAGTAAAGCCGGGTACGCACGAAGTTACCACGCTTGTCCCGGTCCTTCCGGTCGTCGTGGCAGCCGCTTTGTAGCCTAACGCATAGGTGAGGAAAGCGAAGGTGCAGAAGGTGAACTACGGGCGGATGGCCATGTCAGATTCTGCCCAAGAAAGTGGTCTTCGCAGAACGCACCCAGCCGCTGAGCGTTCCGAGGATGAAGGCCTGGAGAGCAGAGAGATCAGTCACATTACTTTAGCTTGAGCAAAATGCAGACGCACCGGACCGGAAGACAGGACGGGCTCAGACGGCCTTGTCGACGCCCTGACGTCCCAGGCGATGAGGACGGCAGACGAGGCAATGCACGACACGACGGCGACGTTTCGTATTGTTCGTTCGGAGAACATCTGCGCGATGGCCGTCAGGATGGATCTGCGCGCGCAAGTCAAACCGTCGACGCACCATCCAGGCTCTTGCGGCAAAGAAAGCGAGAGCGACGACGACGAGTGCGGTCCCGCACGTCTTGCTGACGATACGTATACCCTTTGCGTTGGCGAAGCGGTCTTGTATGGGCGCAGCCTGGGCAACATTGACGAAGAGGAGGGCGGTTTGGCATGAGAGACAGCCGGTCGCGAGGAGCGAGATGAGCGAGACGAGGGCGTTCGAGACTCTCCGCTGGCCTAGTCGATAGCCGCTATAGTGTAGACACAGTCGCAAGGCAGCGCCCTGCAGAAGGAGGACGGTGAGGAGGTCAACTCGAGTTGGGAGAGAGCGAGGAGGTCGGGTGAACGCACGTAGAACCCGGCGCTGGCTGGGACGAGGAAGAGGAGGACCTGTATGCTCTTGAGCATCTGGCTGAAGGACGGATCCGTGTTCGCGAGCTTGCCCACCACCCCCATCTCGCCCGCCATCGTCCCGTTTCCCCTGGACGAGCGAGGACGCTGTCGGCGAGCCTCGTCACTCAGGCGCGGTCTAGCAGGGTTGCAGCAGGCTGTGTAGCGTTGTGAGCGAGTACACCGTGCAGCAGAACAGTGCGAGCGGCCATCCTGGCGAAGGTGAGCGTCGCACTCGAAGGGTTCTCTCGCGCGCCCTGATCGAACAATGGACTGATTACAACTGCTTTGTAATCAATCTGCTTACTCTGCTGTATTCCAGCACAGCACGCTACCACCCAAAGACGAGGTCCGACACCCGCCCGAGCACGCCCTTCTGCCCCTGACCCTGCTGCTGCTGCGCCAGCACAGCCTGCTTGCTCTTCTCCGCAAACAGGCTCGCATGCGCGTCCGTACCGCCCGTCGCGGCCGTCGAAGCGCCGCCGGTACTGCCGAGGCCGAGGAAGCCCTTGCGCGTGGGCGTGGGCACAGTCTTGAAGGCGGATTGCGGACCGAGGACGTTGACGGGGCGGCCGACGCCAGACGGGGTCGATGTGCTGACCGGCGTGTGCGTCCGCTGCGGGCCCTGCGACGACGGAACGACCTCGTTACCTCCCTCGCCGCCCGCAAGCGCGCGGCGCAAGCCGTCCTCGTCGACCGCCTTGACGCCGACCATCAGGACACCGCCGAGGACCTCGCCATTCTTTCGCACTGCCCGTGCAGCAGACCATGGCTGAGCATAGATAATCGTCACCCAGTTGCCGCCCTCCGTCGACGGAGTCTTTGAGACGATGTCGCCGAATTGCGAGAAAAAGTCGAGGATGAGGTCCGTAGCCGAGGCGGGGAAGCCAAAGACGTTGACGGCGTAGCCTTCGGTGGAAGAGGGGGAAGAGTGGAGCGGAGCGGAGGTAGAGGCGAAGGGTGAGGCGGTCGGGTCGTTGGAAGGGGAGCGTCGCAAGCTAGAGATGCAAGCTGTCAGTCAAACCCGGCGGAAAGCGCGATGGCCGACTCACCCGTTCATCGACGAGTCCACCTGTAATCCTGGCTGATCGCTGCTCTCGAACTCGTTCAGCAAGGCGACAGGCGGAGCGTCTTCCTCGACCTCTTGCCGGTAAGCAGTCGCTCGCGGCGGCGCAGTGTACGGCGTGAACTTGGGCGACTTGGACGGGGTGCTGCGAGAAGACTCTTTGAGTGTCTGCTGGGAGAGAGGCCGAGCAAAGCGCAACGAACCCGACATCTCGTCCGCCAAACAGGCTTCCTCCGCCAAAGCGAGCGGCTGGCGATCCCGAGACAGACGTCCGTCGCGCGGGGGAGTCCCACATCCGCTCATCCGCACCCGACTGAGGCGGAGTCGACTCGGCTTGCTGCAGAACGAAAATTGAGTGAGCCTCAACAAGCGAGCGAGAGATCGAGGAGGAGAACGTACTTGGGCTGCGACACCTCCAGACAAGTAGCCCGGCAAATAGCTCCGCTTAGCACCTGGCGTTCCCGTTGCGCCGCTCGTCGAGCTCTGCATCCCTCCCGCGCCGCCAAAGGGACTCCCGTACCCAGCTCCTCCCGCTCCTCCTCCTCCCACACCCGCTCCCGCGCCACCAAACTGGCCGCCATAAGCTGCGCCGTGGTTCCCTCCGCCGAACTGCGGTCCGGCAAAGGTGTTCGGAGTCGAGGAGGACGTGGAGGAGTACCCTCCGTACCCAGTCGTCGATGAGGATTGACCAAAGGCGGACGGCTGCTGAGGCGTCGAGAAGAGGCCTTGCTGGCCTGAAGAGCGGAAAGGCGAGCTCGTGCTACCCTGTGCAAACATCCTGGAGCAGCTAGCTGAGAGCGAGCAGAAGTGCACTGGGAGAGAGTTGAGCGACGGAGGAGGAGAGGGTGTTCACGACAGCAAACTCTCGCAAGGCTGTTTGCAGTGCTCTACAGGCATCGCGAGTGAATGCACAGTCAAGCATTGCAGCGCCGGGGCCTCACTTCTTTTTGAGGCTGTTCTTCGACTGCTTCGCTATCCGCTTCTTCTCCTTCCGGTGCCGCTCCGCCGCCCTGCTCTCCCTTCCAAGAATGCCCTCTCCACCACCCTTCTTCGCCGCATTCGCCTGCTTCCGCTCGTACCGCGCTGCAAGCCGCTTCTGCTCCTTCTTCGCCGCACGTCGAGCAATGCGCTCCGCGTCCATCGACTTGATCTTCTTCCGCTCGTCGGCGGGCAGCTCAGCGAGTGCCTCAGCAAGCTTCTCCTTGTGCTCGGACGGTGCGCCGCCCGTCTTGCCGAACCTGGGCAGAGTCGGATCGCGAGGAGCGGCGAGGCGGACAGGCTTCGGGCCCGACTTGGACGAGGCGGTGGAGGCGGCGACGCGAGCAGGGACGGAGGCGGCGGTACGAGCGGAGACCTTGGCGCGAGCTGCGGCTGCGGCTGGGGT